TCCACAAAATCTATCTTCTTTTCTTCTCCCCTTTTAAAGCCGCGTGCCGTATTTACCTGTTAGGTATTCTTTCATCCACTTTAAAGTCTTAACTCCAATGACCTCGAATAGAAACTATTTAAGGAAAAATAAAAACTAAGATTGTTTTGTTTATTTTAAAGATCTTTTTCGGCGATGGAGACCTATATAATCAAATTCTTCTTCCATCATTTTTATTTTCGTAGCTTTTGTATTTAACCTTTCCACTTGTTTTTTTTTTTACGTTGTTAGAAATTTTTTGATCAATGGAAAAAAAGAAAAAAAAATTATCGCAAAGATTGTGAAAATTAGCATGAGATACTATCGCCTAGATACGAGTCGTCTTCTCGATATGTATGTTGTGGAGCCAGCAATTTGGATGGAACCGCCGACGTGGAAAAGGGCCACAACCACACACAGAACAGAAGTGTGAGAATCTTACAGTATCATTGGAAGTGCGCCCTGAATCGAGGGCAAAAGAGGGAAGTTAGGTCCCACAACTAACAAGTCTGATTTCTTAAGACAGTGACATGTGAACATGGTGACCCTACATAAGTCACTCCTCTGGATGACAACTACGCTTATGCATGTTTGGTATATTTGTTGTTTTTTTTCTTTTTTCTGTATTGTATTTTCTTAAGATAAAGAAATGTAACTAGTTGCAAAAACTGATTGATGTTTGTTTTATTTACAAAAAAAAAAAAAAAATAGTTGACTGATGAAAAATTATTGAAGCAAACGTTGTTTTCTTTATATTTTAGGCTACAAAGAAATCGTAAACATTGAATTTTTAACCCCAAAATTATTGTAAAACATAGATTTCGCGTTTCTGAAGCTCTGGTGGAAGCCAAGAACAAAATATATATATTGTGAATTGGTTAGTATATGGTCATTTTATGAATTACGATTTATTCAAATATAATTAACTGTTTTTCGTATTTGGCAAAAAATAGAATAAATTTTTGTATATAATTTTATATAACTTACCAACACCGGGCAAAATTTCAGTTCTAACGTTGTTCAAGGTGGATTTAAGTCACATCAAATCATAAGGTCCTTTTTTCCTCTAGTGTTTACTCTTGTGTTTTCTTAATCTGATGTTACTTTACCAAACTGAAAAAACAAAAGAAAAAAAGGGTCGGATGAACATTGTTGTAGTGGGGCTTCATTAATCCAATTCAAAGAAATATTTAAATTTATGGGTTTAGCATGATTGTTAATAAACTAAAACTACTAATACGTACTCTAATTTAATCATCTGTATGTAAGTGTAACATTGCTTTAGCATTGTTCTTATTGAACGACAATGTCCTTATCTGTGCAGAAAGGCACCTCTGTAATCCCTAGTGTTTATTATATATAAAATGGTATCTCAAAAAAAAAATACACATTAACAAGTTACCAAAAATAACCATGATTCAAACCGTCAAATATGATGATGTATACAAAAGATAATTATTAGAATAAAATTCGGACATGCATATATATTTCAAAATAATATAATCACTGGAAAACAACAACGTTAGCTATACTTAATTAAGTTCTCTAGTTTAAATCTTTTTTAGTAGATGGAGCATAAACTAAAATGGGAGTAGGGGAATATGAGACTATCAGGCTAATGAGGATAAATCGAGTGCTACTGTATCATGCGCACACAAGTTTATATCCAAAATTAATTAGCGAAAGAGGCCCACTCTCCTTCACACACACCTTATGGTAATTCATCACTATCTCATGTTGTGTTCCTAATAATCTTTCTCATTATCCTTTTTTTGCCTATACATATTTATGTCTTTTTTTTTTTGTTTTTATTTTATTTTATCAAAAGTACATATTATAGATATTGTGAACATATATCTCAATCCTCTTTAGTCGGAAATCATGACCACTCCGGATCATTTTTCATTTTTTGATAAATCTCCGCTGCAACGCTAGGATCAAACTTAGAAATTACACCAAAAAACAGACACTTCGCTCATACACTAATATAACTGGAATCTATCCCAGCTAATAGGGTTTTAAAAGAAGTATTCTTGCAGTAATTACATTAAATCTGCAAGGAAGATGAATAAAGAGACGCGCATGTGGAGAAAGGAGACGATGCGTATAAGATTAAGATGTGCCTCGAGCCCAAAAACCAAATCTAGAATCAATCTCGACACTCGATAGTGTTATTGCTATATTAATATATAATCATAAGAAGAGTATTTTTATTCTTATGAGGTTGTTTGGTACATATGAGGCAATTTATTATTCGATGCAAATCATTCCCCGTGCCTCTTATGCTGTGTTTTTCTTTATAATAAACATCAGAATAATTATTTTGAAATTTGATTATGTTGAGAATTTAAAATAAAATAAGAAGAAGAGGAAAGAATCTGATGGACCCTTGTGGTTTCTCCACGCAAGAATCATACCACTGAAAGGGCTAATACATGCATGCATTATACTTTCGACTCCTGGACCAACACTTGCTTCATTATTTAAGTCTGTTAAAATTTAAACGATTAGACTTTGCTATGCTAATAAAATTTCTAGGACCACCATTATTTGATCTGAAATCAGTAAAACAAATTAAACATAACAACTACAATCATTACATATATATTTTAAAATTCTGATGATAACATGCCTCAACCGTAACAAGCCGTAGACTATAGCTAGAAACACAAGTACATCGTCGTCATCTCTTGAGCATAGTTTTGTTTATATAAAGTTGAACAGTTTCCACAATAATGAGACGTGCTGGCGTAAGCATGCGTCATCTCTTTGTCATATTATGCAAATCCAACAAGACATTATTATACGCTACACTTTTGTAATGGAGAGACTTTCAAGAGATTTGGTTCAGTCTATCTTATTTTCTCTTCTATATATTACTTTTTAATAAGATAGCTGATGATGAGAGAAGGGTGAGGCATGGAGGCCATCATGTTCCCTCTTCACCGAACCCTTTGTCCTCTTCAAAAGGTATCTGATTCTCTCGTTAAAAAAAAAAGATTATGTACAGTTTTGTACATTAGATTCATTTTACCCCACACACTATATTGCTTCTATAGTTTCTTCAATAATTTACGTACAATAACTTTTTCAAACAAATTTTGTTTATTCAATTTCTGAGTCGATTAATCAGCCAGCGTATCCAAATGAATATAGTTATTTGAAATATTAAGCTTCGGTTTTTGTCCAAACAATAAGCATAGTGTGCCAAAAAGAAAATCCACAAAAAAAAAAAAAAAATCCACTTTGAATTTCGCATTGAGGTGTGCTCATAATGGGAGGATTAATTATGGACATCTTGGAACTCTTAACATAATCTATGGAGTATATGATGCACTGACTAATAATCAGTTAAAACAGCTATTCATTTATTTTTTGCTTAAAAAGAATCTGGCTCTGTTGATGCATTTAAATAGAGTATAAACCCATGCATGTATACCTCATAATTACTTATTTTGTGCAATGTTATAGAATATTCATCTAAGCTTTGGCTTGTGGGCTCATTCATTTGCTTATAAACCATGTCTCCTACTCCTTTATATGTTTATTCTAACTAATATAGATAGTTGATGATTATCCTACTACGCCCCTATATATAGCTAGTAACGATAATCAAATTGTCATGCATGTGAATATCGACTCAAACTTGAGAGTTTGAAGGAACGCTAAATAAACTTAATTATGTATTTTATTTATTAATTAACAATCGGTTACCTCATATGAGTTTTTAGGGTTTGATATATTATATATATACTTTTACAGGATATATATATAAATGATTTCATATTTAATTTTCTCAATTAGGTTTCGGTTTTACTAGTTTTTCAGAAACACCAAAAAAAGGAGGTAAATTTGTTACTGAAAAACACATTAGATTTATTAGAAAAACTGGATTAATATCCGTCAGTAATCTTGTTGAAATATTCATTTGCATATATTTACTCTATATATATGTCATCTCTCTGAACACCATATAATTTGCGTATATTGAAAACATTACTTTAAGAGCAATGAGGAATTTTTGGAAGGGATGATGAAGGAGGAATTTATATGATGATGATGATGTTGCTGGGGATATGAAGAGTTTGATAGAGAAGGGACACATTGATATGACAGTGTCTCCAAATCAAAAGCCCTAACTCCTATGCAATAAACACACATGTTTGGGTTTTAGGGTTTCACTTTTGAACTCTCTAAGGTAGACAAATCATAACCATATAGTCTAAGCAATATAGGGCACTTATAGACATATATCCACTAAATGTATTGTATTTTTTGTTCTAGAGGAATAGGTAAGTGTATCGGTTTCTAGAGTAAAAAAAAAGAAGGTTGCTTGCGACGTGTATACACGAAACAAGAAGGTCTAATGTTTTCGTAATGACACATAGTTGGGCTTTGTTGGGCCGAAATTGAACTAAATAAAGATATACGTCTATTGCGTTGCGTCCGTCCATTGGATCTCTAAGAGCGAACCAATGAGCATTTATATTAGATACTCTCATGTTTGATATTCGTCATTGGATGTTGAAGCCTCCTCATGCTTCTCTTGAACATGTTAACAGCGAACAGAATGCAGCAGTGGATGCTCTAACTCGGAAAGCTCATTCTATTAATTCATTGTACCAAATCTTCTCTATTCCTCCTGTTTGTCTGCTTCCATATTTGTATCAACCTTTTACGGTATAATGAAAGTTCTTTAGATGTTAAAAAGGAAAAAGATAAAAAAAATCTCTAATCTAAGAAATATAAACCCTAATGTTTATGTTGATATGCGTCGATTTTAGTACAACATATACATACACAAAAACACTGCTTTTTAAGTAAGAGTAATTCTACTTTTAATCCATAAGAGTGTCATTATGTGTGGTTAAAACTTAAGAGATTTCATTCTATGAAATATTTTCTTTATTATTCTAATACACCAATTCTCATAGATAACTTATGATTATAAATATCCCCAAATTCGAATTATCCTAAATATTACAACAGGATAACATTATCTATAATCCTTGCTAATTAGTGGACTAAAAATTCTCACAATTGATTTTTAGATAAGATTAGAGAAGCTGATTGCTTGTAAAACAGTAAAGGGAATGGTATTTATCCATTTTCGTTTGGTCAAATTTGTCACAAAATCGTAATTAGGCAAAGAAAAAATAATGTGCATATGATTTGACGATCTCTGAGGAAGAAGAGAGAATCGAAAGTGTTCCCCTTTCTGTTGTTTTCGTAGCTGTTGAATGAGTTTCCTCCGATCCACGATTCCGTCTTTGAGCTCAGAATCATCATAAACGCGGAATCCGAATCTGATCTCATGTCCTTCTCCTTCTTCAAGCCCTCTAGGCCTAAAACGCCTCAAGAGGTCGTTAAAGCGATCAAAGATAGTCTTATGGCTCTCGACACCAAGACCGTCGTCGAAGTTAAAGCCCTCGAGAAGGTTTTCTCTCTCTCTCTCTCTCTCTTATTTCTCTATAAAAAGTTTGTACCTTTATGCCTAACTTCTCAATTTTCAATATGGGTTTTACTGATTTGTTTGATTCATGTTGCCTTTTTCACTTAAATCATTTGCTTGTAGCTCAAAATTTTGCCTTTAGGTTCTGTGAGATTTTGGCAAATCTAAGAAATGTACTGTCTTGTTGTCTTTTTAGGCTTTAGAAGAAGTTGAGAAGAATATTTCTTCTCTGAGAGGAATGCTTTCTGGAGATGGTGAAGTTGAACCAAATGCTGATCAAGCTGTACAATTAGCATTAGAGTTTTGCAAAGAAGATGTTATCTCTCTTGTTATTCATAAGCTACACATTTTGGGATGGGAAGTAAGTGAGATGTTTAGATTTGTTTCCCTTTGTGTGTGTGTTTAATAGAATCTGTTATGAACCCGTTGAGTAATGATGCAGGCAAGAAAAGATTTACTGCATTGTTGGTCTATCTTGTTGAAGCAAAAAGTCGGCGAGACTTATTGCTGTGTGCAATACTTTGAAGAGCATTTCGAGTTGCTCGACTCTTTGGTTGTATGGTAAATATTGTAAAGATTTCTTTTTTATTTTTCTTATAGGGCTAAAATTTTGCTTAGTTGATTTGATCTGTATCTTTTGAGTCAATACTGATAATTCAATGTTTATGAGCAGCTATGACAACAAGGAGATTGCTCTGCATTGTGGAAGTATGCTTCGGGAATGCATTAAATTCCCAAGTCTTGCTAAGTAAGACAAACCCAATATCTTGCTTTCTCTTTGTAATGTGATTTGAACACTGTTTAATGAGTTCACTGACGCGCAATGGTCGAGATTTTTTCTTTCAGACGGTTAAGTTTTACTTAGTGCCTTTTCAGGTACATTTTAGAGTCTGCCTGCTTTGAGTTATTCTTCAAGTTTGTGGAATTGCCAAACTTTGATGTTGCTTCTGATGCATTTTCAACATTCAAGGTGATTTTTATCACTATTATTATTGACGTGGAATTGTTTCAGATTTTGCCTATTTATTCATTGTACTTTCTTACCTCTCTCGCAGGATCTTCTTACAAAACATGACTCTGTCGTCTCTGAGTTTCTCACCTCTCATTACAGTGAGGTTTGCTTCAGCCTTTTTTCAAGTTTAGATGAAAACATGAGAAGCATTTTTTCGGTTATAAATCCTATAGTGAAATGAAATATACATCATGAACACTTGCCTCTTCTCCTTAAGCTGACAGACTATTTATTTATGGTTATTTCAGTTCTTTGATGTTTATGAAAGGCTTTTGACATCTTCAAACTATGTGACGAGAAGACAATCACTCAAGGTTCTCTTCCCTACAAATCATTTTTTGGTGCTATGTTCATCTCTGCAATAGTGTAGTTAACAATGAACTATTCGTGGTTGATTTAGCTTCTCTCGGACTTCCTATTGGAGCCTCCAAATTCCCATATAATGAAGAAATTCATCTTAGAAGTTCGTTATTTGAAAGTCATAATGACACTTTTGAAGGTGAGCGATGATTTTTTGGTTTCATCTTTCTTATTTTTCGATTAATTTTTCACAATTTCGTACGTTATTTCATGTTAAATGTTCATGCTTATTTGAGTAGGACTCGAGCAGGAACATTCAAATATCAGCCTTCCATATATTTAAGGTAACAGATCGCTTTCTTAAAACTGCAGTTAATTTGGTAACAACTGAGGATGAAGTTATTATCAGATTTTGAAGCCTTTTAAACCTTATATATTTGTGTGCTTACAGATCTTTGTTGCGAATCCTAATAAGCCGCAAGAAGTGAAGATCATATTGGCAAGAAACCATGAGAAATTACTCGAACTCCTCAACAATTTGTCCCCTGGTAAAGGTATGAACTATTTCAATACTAAATTCTATAAATCTTACCTTCTAAACTAGACTCATTCCGTTACTTAAAATCTTGCTTAGGTTCCGAAGATGATCAATTCGAAGAGGAAAAGGAGCTGATCATCGAGGAGATTCAAAAAATGTCTGGCTTGAAAAACCTCGAACATTAAACATTCTTTCGCCTGCTCATCTCTCTCTGTTCCATTCGGTGATCCCGAGCCTGCAAATGAAGTCTCTAGAGAACTCTGTGTGTTCAAAGTTTCATAACTGCTCGTCTTAACATGAAACTGCTGCTTTTTCTAGTGAGTGTAGTAATGTAACTTTTGATTTTCTGTGTTGTCGCTGAGTTGTTCAGATTCATGACTTGTCCCATATTTAAAGACCATAACATTTTGTTGCCTTTTAATATCTTTTACATGAAGATTGTGCTTTTGCATGTAATCTTTGAAATGGATAAGACCTATCTATCCGCTTAACAAATCATTCAATGAAAGTATGAAACCATTTCTGTTTTATTTCCTAAACGAGAACCAAAAAAATACAGATATGCAAAAAAAAGGGAATTGACCTTTTTGTGGATTATGAATCAACCTAATGTTACAGTTCTAGAGTCAGACAAGACTCCCAACAAAAATTAGTTTCTTTCAGGCAATCTCTAGATTCAAAGAAGTTGCAACAGAATCAGACATCTTCAGATTTCTCACTAGTGCAGCATATGCCGCACCAGAAGGCTTCAGCCCTAAGGCCTTAAGCTCCTTGTATAGTTTCATGCCTTTCTCAACCTTGTTTTCTTTGCAAAGTCCTTTTATCAAAGCGTTATACGTGATTGCGTTTGGTGTAACCCCTGTTTCAGACATTCTCTTGAAAATCTCGAAGGCCTCGTCTGATTTTCCATGTGAGCAGAAACCTCTTATCACCGTATTGCAGCTTAGCGTTGTTTCTCCATAGCCATTTCTCAACATCTCATAGTAGAATGCTTCACCAAGCGAAATCTCGCCTCTTTTAAAATGCCCGTGCATCATCACATTGTAAGAGAACTCATTTGGTCGCATCCCCTTATTAATCATCTCAAACCACAGCTTCCTCGCGCTCCCTAACCATCCCTTCTCGCAGAATCCATGGATCATTGTAGTATACACAACTCTGTCAGGTGCATAGCCTTTCTCTTTCAGATTCTTGAATATACAATAAGCCTCAAGCTCCTTCTTATTCATACACAACCCCTTTATAATCCTCTGGTATGTATATATACTCGGGAAATGGTTCCACGCTATCATCGTATGAAGAATCTCCGATATACAAGCATAGTTCCCAATCTCACAGAAACCAGATATCAGTTTGGCATACACATCATGTCCTGGATCAAGCCCTTGATTCAATCCCTGCTTCAAAAGCTCATAGCCTTCTGAAACCTCCCCACCATCACACAAAGCTTGAATCAAACACCGAATTCTCTCTAAATCCAACTCAGATTCTATCATTTCCTTATGAAGTTCCCAAAACCGATCGAGTTTCCTCGCTTTCAAGCAACCTAATAAAACAGAATTGCAAGTCACAACCGAAGAACTAATTCCCATCTCTTTCAGTACATTATACACTTCAATAGCTTCCTCTACCAACCCTTCTTCACTAAGACACTTCACGTATTGCTCTAATAACATGGGCTCAGGTTTAAAACCAGTGGTATCGAGAAAACTTTTCGCAGCTTTCACGGCTTTTCCATCCAAAAGAGCACCAAATAGAAGATTTAAAGAAACAGAATCAGGTGTGTAATCATAATTGGAACACAACCACCGGAAGAACCACAAAGAAAACATAACATTGTTCTGAGATTTCAACAGTTGTCGGAAAAACAAAGGATCTGCGAAATCAAACGAGGGAAAATCAGATACCAGAGTTTTTTGCCATCTCTGTCTCCTTCTCATGATCGTAGACACAGTTTCAGCCATCTCCGTATAACTCACAGCCGATTTCTGCTCATCGGGCTTGGATTCACTATCCCGATACTCAACAGTTAGACTCCGTATCTGGGCATTAGGGTTCTGTCGAGTTCTGTTTCTGAAGAAGTTGATCAAATACGACTGACCTCTACTCATGGCGTATCGCTAACTCGTAACTTGTGGGCAAACTCGAAATCGAGCTCGAAAGAGAGCCAGACTCAAATCGAAGAAGAACGGAGGTTTTGTTATTATTCCGGGAGAAGAATGTCGAATACTTTCACCGGAACCCTAGATTTTGATCCCCAATTTCATTTCTGTGTCATTTCCAGGAGATGATGAAAAAGGTTTGGACTTTGGAGTAAATAAACATAAGTTTATTACAGCATCAAATATAATTTGTCAATAATGTTATGACGACATCGATTTTAGATTGGTCTTAGTTCAAAAAAAAAAAAAAAAAAAAGGTCAATTTGACGGATAAAAAAAGGGGCTTGCTTTGCTTTTGCTTCGTCTTCTTCTCTCTCTCTCTCTGTATCTGTATCTATCTATCTATCGTCTTCGCCGAAATCCCTAATTAATTTGTTCCTACAACCATCAATTTCCCGCGCAAAGAGAATGTGGATGGTCGTGAAATGAAGCCTCTTAGTAAAATTCCAATCGACGACACATAGCTGAAAGTTTCAAGCTTTCTCGCAATCTCCGTCCTTTTACCGATTCGGTTGGTCTTTGGGTCGCTTCGACGAGAATGGAGAGGTAATTTTCTGGGAGAAAAAACTATGGCTGATTTTTGTTTCTATATTTCCCCTGAATTAGATGATGAGTGTACTTAGATATCGAATCTTCTCTGGTTTTGGATAAAGCTTCAATTTTTGAATATTGTAGTCTTTGTTACTGTGAATTGGTTGGATTTTGATTCACTCTTTTGTGTATTTTTTTCAATTGCAGTGCAGATACTGAGCTTACTAGTTTCAACAACATGGTTGCTAAAGCATATCCTGTACGGATTTTGCATCACAACAATGGTATAAGTGAAGATGAAGAAGGAGGTTCAGGTGTCGAACCTTATGTGGGTCTAGAATTCGATACTGCAGAGGAAGCTCGGGAGTTCTACAACGGTTACGCTGCTCGGACGGGTTTTAAGGTTAGGACTGGTCAGTTGTATAGATCAAGAACTGATGGTACAGTTTCGTCGAGGAGGTTTGTTTGCTCTAAGGAGGGTTTTCAGCTGAATTCGAGAACTGGATGTACCGCGTTTATTCGTGTGCAGAGACGTGATACTGGGAAATGGGTTCTTGACCAAATCCAGAAGGAGCATAACCATGAGCTTGGAGGTGAAGGTAGTGTTGAGGAAACGACTCCGCGGCCTTCAAGAGCTCCAGCTCCTACAAAGCTAGGTGTTACTGTTAATCCACATAGACCCAAGATGAAAGTTGTTGATGAGTCTGATAGAGAAACACGGTCCTGCCCGGGTGGTTTCAAACGATTTAAAGGTGGTGGTGAAGGAGAAGTGAGTGATGATCATCATCAAACGCAGCAGCCTAAGGCGGTTACTGGTACTGAGCCGTATGCAGGGTTGGAGTTTGGTTCAGCTAACGAAGCGTGCCAGTTTTATCAGGCGTATGCGGAAGTTGTTGGGTTTAGAGTTCGTATAGGTCAGTTGTTTCGATCCAAAGTTGACGGTTCAATCACATCAAGACGGTTTGTTTGTTCAAGAGAAGGGTTTCAGCATCCTTCGAGAATGGGTTGTGGAGCTTACATGAGGATCAAAAGACAAGACTCTGGTGGTTGGATTGTCGACCGTCTCAATAAAGATCATAATCATGACCTCGAACCAGGGAAGAAGAATGACGCTGGTATGAAAAAGATACCGGACGATGGGACAGGGGGATTGGATTCTGTTGATCTTATTGAACTAAACGATTTTGGCAACAACCATATCAAGAAAACGCGAGAAAACAGAATTGGTAAAGAATGGTATCCGCTGCTTCTCGACTATTTTCAGTCTAGACAAACCGAAGACATGGGATTCTTTTACGCCATCGAATTGGATGTCAATAATGGAAGCTGCATGAGCATTTTCTGGGCGGATAGCCGAGCAAGATTTGCTTGCAGTCAGTTTGGTGATTCTGTTGTTTTCGATACTTCATACAGAAAAGGAAGCTACTCTGTTCCGTTTGCTACTATCATCGGTTTTAACCATCACAGGCAACCCGTACTTCTTGGGTGCGCCATGGTTGCTGACGAATCTAAAGAGGCTTTCTTATGGTTGTTCCAGACATGGCTTCGTGCCATGTCGGGTCGTCGTCCTAGATCCATTGTAGCTGATCAAGATTTGCCTATCCAGCAAGCTTTGGTCCAAGTCTTTCCCGGAGCACATCATCGGTACTCAGCTTGGCAAATTAGGGAAAAAGAGCGGGAAAACCTGATACCGTTTCCAAGCGAATTTAAGTATGAATACGAGAAATGTATATACCAGACTCAGACAACAGTAGAGTTTGACTCAGTTTGGAACGCTCTCATCAACAAATACGGTCTTAGAGACGACGTATGGCTCAGGAAATCTACGAACAACGCGAGAATTGGGTTCCCGCGTATCTAAGAGCAAGTTTCTTTGCTGGAATCCCAATAAACGGAACCATCGAGCCCTTCTTTGGTGCTTCACTTGACGCTCTAACGCCTCTCAGAGAATTCATTTCCCGATATGAACAAGCGCTAGAGCAGAGACGGGAAGAGGAAAGAAAGGAGGATTTCAATTCTTACAACTTGCAGCCGTTTCTGCAGACAAAAGAACCCGTGGAAGAACAATGCAGAAGACTCTACACGCTAACTGTCTTCAGAATCTTCCAGAACGAACTCGTCCAATCTTACAATTACCTCTGTTTAAAGACTATGAAGAAGGAGCAATCAGTAGATTCCTGGTGAGGAAATGTGGGAACGAGAGTCGAGAAACATGCCGTGACTTTCAGTGCGTCGAATCTCAATTCGAGTTGCAGCTGTCAAATGTTTGAGCACGAAGGACTTCTCTGTAGACATATCTTGAAAGTGTTTAATCTCTTGGACATAAGAGAGCTCCCGTCTCGGTATATACTGCACCGATGGACCAAGAACGCAGAGTTTGGGTTTGTGCGTGATATGGAATCAGGCGTGAGTGCTCAGGATCTGAAGGCCTTGATGGTTTGGAGTTTGAGGGAAGCTGCTTCTAAGTACATAGAGTTTGGGACATCGTCTCTGGAGAAGTATAAGCTTGCTTATGAAATTATGCGTGAAGGTGGGAAGAAACTTTGTTGGCAGAGGATGATGAACTCGGCTTGACCATGTAAGACCAATTATCTTCATTGATGTCTGAAATTAAAGATCATCCGTGTCATGTCTGAAAGTTGTTGAAGTTTCTTGTGTGACAGTGTGAGAAATGAAAGATTTAAGAGGTTGTTATCGTTGCTGTAGGTGTTTTTGCTTCACCCTTGAAGAAGATGAAGTCTTGGTCGATAATCTTAACCTTTTTGATAACATCGTCGCTGCAAGAGGTGGACCAGGTGATAGTGGAGGTGGGAGTTTTGTGGTCATTGTGGTTCCTAATGATAATCATCATAGTAATGACGCTTCCGGTGACATGTTCGTTCTCTTGTGTGTTTGTTTATGTTGTTCCAAAAGATCTGAGAAAGTGAGAACAGATCAGAATTAGCATTTTGTTTTTTTTGGGAATGGGCGGGGAAGATGCATGTTTAGAGAATCAAATCGTTTGATGCTAAGTTGTTGCAAAGAATGTAATGTGTAATATTATTATCAATCTCTTTTTCTTTTCTTCACATCAACTAATCATTTACATGATCGTAATAATCAAACAAAACAAAAGAATAAACACACACACAAGACACAACACACAAATTACACGATCTTAAGCAAATGTAAAACCGCTTTTAAGAAGAATCTTGAAACTCAAACTCTCCCAAGATGAGGCCTTTCTCCGGCGGCGACTGTTTCTCCGACTCCAGCGTGAATAGCTCCGGTGCACACCAACTGAGTAGCACTTACAATTATTGTCAGAACTTCAAGAGTTCTCTGCAAAATAGAATCAACAAAACAGAAAAACTAAGTATCAACAAAATAAAACACAAAAAACATATTACACATTCACTTTCTTAGAATATAATTTAAAACAGAGAGTAAAAGCTCACTAGATTGGCTTCGGTCCAGCCAATGTTGATCTCCTTGCAGGCCAATCTGTACCAACATCATATCGGTTTAGATTTCGTCTTAGAAGAATGAAAAGAAATTGAACCGGATAAAACCCGTGATTAATACGGTGAGTTTGTTTACCCCATGGCGAGGCAGAGTGAGAGACCAGGATATGAGAGAGGAAGCCGCGGCGGAGTGGAGATTCGGAGAGTCCCACTGAAGAACGTTGAGGATTCCGGTGAGTGATGTCGCCATTCCGACGACGCCGGCGATCAACGTGAATATTACGAAAAAACCAGTCGCCATGTTACCCACCGGGAAGTATATCGGGAAGATCTTCGCCGGAAGTGACAGTGTCGACGCTGCCAAAAACCAAAAAAAAAAAAAAATTGATGACATTCAATTCTAAAAATGTTGGATTTATTATAATTTAAGAAGTTGATAATCTTGTTAATTAAGGTGTTAATTACCGGACTCGTGAGTTCTCTCGATGCCGTGATTAACAGCCCATGAGGCGATGACAGTGACGACGAAATAAAGACCAAGATTCAGCATCAGAAGCATGAAAGCTGCCGACTTTGATCCCCCTGAAGCCATGTCTATAAGATTCTCCGACAAAAAAAAATATAACTTCTCAGAAAAACCAGACAGGTCTTTTACTCTGGTTTTTGTCTTGGGATAATCACAAGATCTCTGTGTGTCATGTTCGTATATTTATATCTATCCAGTTTATAGGAATAGATGTTTCTTCAGCTGAAAGCAATGTTTTCAATTCTTTACTTTGTCCTTAACTTTGGACAAAGAATCAAATCCTAAGCTTCAATTTTCGTGCGAGCCCGTTTTGTTTATTTGCTGTCTTTTGCGCAGAAGAAGAAGAAAAGAATAGTTAGAGATAGAGAATGAGTAAAAAATATAATATATAAACCCTTTTCCCGGGAAAATCTGTCAGGATGAAACTTTTCCCGGAAAACAGAGTCGCAGAGAAAAAAAGCTTGCTCTGCTTTAGACCAATAAATTAAAGAATATATTCAATAACCATCACATCTGTACATTGTTGATTCATTCTTCTTACAAAACAATTGAGTCATATTTGCAGCTCTAATGCAGAGCTTTGAAGATATTTTGCAGGATGAGGTGTATGGTTCATTTATCCTCTAAGAATTTCCAAGGCTAGCTCAGCTAGCGAATGCACAGTTCTGCTGTGACGGCTTAGTCCAACAGTACCGGAGAAAACATCAAAGTTCTCGAGCTCAGCCGTAGTTTCTAGAACCTTCTCAAGCTCTTTCTCTAGACCCATCTCTCTAAACAATGCTACATTATCCTCCAAATCATCTTCCATCATCCAAATCGCCAGCTCAATCACAAACCTCCTGATTCTTGGAACCTTAATCGCCGGCTTGTCGTTCTTTTTAAGAATTGAGACCAACGAGTTTGCCAGTTCTTGTCTCTTGATGCCTGAATCCAAGAAAACATAGCTCGATTCTTTTGAACTCATGAATCTAAACACTTGGGCTGCTAATCCCACCATCACTTCCTGTAATTTGTTGTCTTCTGAAGTTATTGACTTCAAGACCTGCAACAAAATGAAAAAAAGTTTCCCGACTTGTTACTCAATATAGTTTATACTAGATTCGAGTTGTCCTGTAAGTTTTCCAATCGAAATTGTATATCAGAATACTAACTGTTGGTGCTGCTGCTTTAACGAACTTCAGGTCATGAAAGCATTCATCCCCGGAGTATAAGCACAAGTTTCTCAACACTCTTGCAGCGTTCACACGGATCGGAGGAACTTCAAGTGCTTCCACAAGTCTTCCAATAACCCCAAGCCTAAGAACATGGAGGCAGTTGCTCTTGCTCTCCAACACAAGCATCGCTATCGCTTCTCCTGCAGCGATCCTCACACATCCCTCATTCCGCTCGTCCCCGTGTGTTTCCCGTTTAAAGAAAATGTTGAACAACTCTTTCAGAACACCACCAGTTCCGCCAATTCTCTCCCGAGCTTCGGCCTCAAGCGCAAGGTTGGTCAATATCCCGATCCCGAGCTTCTGCAGCTTTGGGTATCTCGCCCCGTGTCTCAGGACATCCCTAACGTTGCTTACTGTGAATACAATCTCAGAGATCTCTCTCCGGAGGCACTTCCCTGTGTTTCCTGTTGTGCTGGCTAACATTTTCACAAGCTGAAGTGACCGTTTCAGAGTCAGAACACATGACCTCGCGATGTCTGCGTTCTCATCCCTCAACAGATTTTCATCCGCGTGTGTGAAATCAATTATCTTCGGGAGAAGACCTCTCGTGTTGCCGAGTTTTCCACAGTTGTCATGATCTTTGGCTAATTTCTTCAGAATTAGAAGGCCCAAATTGTTGAATCTCCAGAAATCGTAGTGTAGATTATGGTCATGGAACACTTTTTTCTCTCCAATCTCATCAGGAGCTTCACCTGATGATCTAGTGTTCTCTAATAACGATGAAATCGATTCCATTGCACCAGAAATCCCAGCGACTCTTAAAGAGTTCTGCTTTTTGCCAGCTAGTTTCGATAGTATCTCAGCGGCTGATCTCCTAATCTCTTCCTCTTGCAGATCTTTCCAGTTCAACATCTCCACCAACCTAGTGAAACAGAAAATTAGCAACAATTACAAAACTTCCTCAATTCCTTTCTCTGTAAATCTAACATTTTCATTAGTAAAAACCAAACCTTTCAATAACTGGAAAGTTGATTCCGATCTTCTCAAGTGTATCCTCCGAGTACCGTTCAGTCACTGCAAACTGCCTAAGAATCCTCACTCCAATAAGCTGTTCATCAGAAGAGTTCGAGTCCAAGAGCTCCATACCAAAGCTCACTATATCCATCTTCAAACCATCAAATATACTCCCATTGACACATTTCGAATACGAATCATAGAAAAACCTCTTGATCGAAACCAAACCAGTAACCCCAAACTCACACTCTCTAGTCACATTCTCAAGCAAATTACAAACACTGACTTGCCACTCCCAATAAACTTTCTCCACAAGAAACAACAACGCCTCCGCAAAGGCGAGCGAGTAGAATATATTGAGAGCAGACTGTCTATTCCTCTTATCCGTATCTCCTTTATGAACATCTCCATAGTTATGCCTAACAAGCTTGTAAGAAGACAGAGCAACACAAGCCGTTGCAGATAGAAGTTGGAGCCAGTAAAGAAGACGACTCACTGTACTGGAGATAAAGAACCATCTCGCGTATGGAAGAAGAGGTACGTCTGAATTCTTCCATGTCTCTAACGTCGTCTCCGGAACGACACAGTCTCTTGCCGTCGCTTCCCTCGATCGTGGCTTGAAGATTGAAGCACTGTAGAGAAACAAAAACGATCGTTAATCAAATGTTAACCCTAAATCTGATCGAATCCAGCTCGATTAAGGCAAAATTGAACCTGATTCGTTTTAGATTCTTGAGAAGCGAGGCTGAGCTTGATCGGAGAGCGCGAAAGCTACTGATTCCGACGCCGGCGACGGTCCACGTGGCTTGGTGTTGCCACTCGAGCTCGTGGCTTCTACTGAAGATTCGAGCACCTTCGATTAGGAGAATGATGGTGATGAACCAGAAATCGGAACCGTCGAGTGTGATCGCGAAGCCGCCGAGAAGAACCACCGTAGCCCAGATAAACCCTAGGGTTCCGATTCCGGTGGCGGTTTTCTCAAGAATCGCGAGTTGGAGAGCGAATAGCGTTAGCTTCTTCTCCGGAGCTGGGACTGTTGATTTTCTACGAAACGCTGTCGCGGATGAAACAGAAGCTGCGTCTGCGGTTTCGCCGCTGTCGCCTTTCTCAATGCTGCTTCTTAGATCGAAAACGGTGTCGTTTGAGCCTCTAGCTTCCTCCAATTTTTGAAGCTCAGAGACCTATACAAAGATATAAATAATTTTTAGCAAATTACTCCATTAATTAAACAAACTGAAAAAGTTTACAAGTATTTGATCGGCACTTTAAATTGAGATATTAATCATATTATTGATTTTAATGTTAAGAGCACAACATTAAGTGAAAATGTAGAAGCATTAATTAAAAGTTTTCAAGAAAATCTACTTAAAATGAAAAACAGTTTAAAGACAAAGTAAGAAATTTATGTGATAAAAACCTGCAAACGAATGCTTCGATCTTCGTCTTCTTCGAACTTTCTTGAATCCATTATAAACCTTTCGTTGTGTTTACTCGTTTCCGACTCAAATCGCAATCGAAAACTTTTCACTTTTTTGTTTGTTTCTTTTAGTTTTTGAATAGTGCGTAATGACTTGAGGAGTTGTTGATGATGCAGAGAAAACGAGTAAAGCGTGATTTTACATCCTTCCTATAAACATATGGATGTATATATATGTAGAGAGAGGGAGGCAAAAATTGGCAAAAGGAGTGGAGAGAAAGTCTGCAAATAAACCTAAATAACGCAAGAGGAAATGTGCAAGAAAGTGTAACTTCAAGATTATTGTTGTATCATGTCTTGCTTCATCAAGCAATTTTATGACCAAAAGTTATATTTTATAACAGCAACAAAAGAAAAACTACTTTTATGACATGTTACAACCTTCTTCTTTTATCTTTTTTATGCCTTTAAAAAGGTCAATTTCTTCTAATTTTTTGTTCTTTATGTTTTTTTTTGTTTAGTTATTTTCTTTTCTTATTAGTTATTATAGTAAACTAAAAAGGTAAAAGATTTATATTATCAAAGCAGCCCTGACTCTTTTTACCATCCATCAACGATAAACTGAATGTTTTAGGCAGAAATAAAACAAACAGATAATTACTATTTTTAGAATCCAATGTGATCAGTTATTGTCCTTATATCAATTATTGTATGATTTATTTGCCGTTTTTATGTTAAGAAAAGCCGTGGGGATTGTTCAAATTTACGATTACAAGTAAAAATAATCTGTTTTGCTTTGTATTGCGTCTAGAATTTCTAGAAAAATGTCTGGTAAAGCAATAATATCTATTTTTCTTTAATTTTAATGTAAACATATATAGTAAAATGTAAACGAAAAAAACCAATACAATATAATATGGCCAAATAACTTAGTCTAGCAATTGGGTAGCTCTTGAATCGTTAGCTTTCTGGTTTCAAGTTACAATGATGGAAGATTTGTATTAATGTTTTAGATAAGTCACGAATTATCATTATTGGTACTAAAAAAGTTGACGTAAGCAAATGTAATGAAATCTAGATTGTACTTAATTTAATTAAAAACAATTAGTGAGTCAATAATTCGGTAAGAGTAATGGTGACTTGCAAGCATGTTCCAGCAAAAGTCTTCTTGTGTGAAGCTAAAGTCTCAAATGGTATTAGGAATTGATAGAGTTAGAGATTTAGGATGCAAGTTTAGAGCGCAGACGTATGAGTTTTTAAATGATTCATCATAAAATTCCATAAGAAAATACAGAATTATATGTTGTATTTATACTTTTGTAAAAATAAAATTATTAGTAGAATATTATACTATGTTTAAAATCATAATAATATTATACTGTTTTCTTTCATACCAAAAAAATATTTAACTAATGTTCTAATTTAGTAATATAAGAAAATTTAAAACAACTATTTCCATATAACGCCTTAAGAATTTATCGGAAAACCAAAACAATTTGTTTCCATTCAAGACCAAAGACCTCCGAGTGTGGTTATTTTCTATTTCCAAACCAGCTACTTATCAATTTGATATATGGAGGCTCATATCAAAAATATGGATAGAGTCGTCTACGAAGATTTAACCTAAGACACCTATTTAGTGTATTTTTTTCTTTGGTAAGGACACCTATTTAGTGTATTATTAATTCCAAGTTTCCTACCAATTTTAATGTAATTTCTATTAAAAAAAAATCACTATTATCTTCTTAATCTTGTAACAATTACCAAACGAATAAAAAGTCTCGACCACTAACTTTTACAGATACCACAATCACAAAGATTACAACTTCCTTTTTGGTTTCTGACCTCTCACACAAAACCAAGATTTTGATTACCAAATCTAGAAACAAACCTAAACTTTCCAGTTTCATTAAGATTCTACTTTAACTACACAATCAAAAACCATACATAATCAAAAGAAAATAAAGTAATAAAATCTTCATTAAAAATATCTACAAATTGATTAAAAAGCATTAATCTCACGACCTTGTTAAATAATACATTTCCTCCACTACTCTCATTTACCCCACCTCTCTTATAAACTCTTACAGTTTTACGTTTTGATATTATCTCATCAAAATCAGAAGCTGTAATAATGGGAACTCATCGAATTATCATTGGTCTCGTCGCTCTTTGTTGTTTTTGTCTACCTCATCTCATTGAAGCTAAACCATTCGGAGTGTACCAACGACAAGTGTTCGTGGATCAATCGGGCCATGGAAATTTCAGGACCATACAAAAAGCTATTGATTCGGTCCCAATCAACAATACTCATTGGTTCTTCATCAACGTTAAAGCCGGCCTTTACAGGTCAGTGTAGCAAAAATTTTAATTGACTCCTGTAAATGAAGTTACATATGTCTATTAGAGAAGTTACATATGTGAAAGTGTTTAGTAATGTTTTTTCTCTATGTCTTGTAAAATAAAGAGAGAAAATAGTGATACCGCAAAAAAAACCGTTCATAGTAATCGTGGGAGCTGGGAAAAGGTTAACGAGAGTAGAATGGGACGACCATGACTCGCTTGCACAAAGCCCTACCTTTGCTACTCTCGCTGATAACACCGTCGTTAAAAGCATCACTTTCGCCGTACGGTGATTTTATTTTATTTTGGCATTTTTTCTGATGATTCCTTCTTTTTATTATATATATAAGGGGTTTCTTTTAATATTTTATCTTTTATAGAATTCCTACAACTTCCCTAGCAAAGGGAAAATGAACAAGAACCCTAGAGTTCCGGCCGTGGCAGCGTTTATCGGCGGTGATAAGTCAGCTTTTTACTCGGTAGGATTTGCTGGAATTCAAGATACCTTGTGGGACTCGGATGGCCGACACTACTTCCACCGATGCACCATCCAAGGCGCGGTTGATTTCATCTTGGGGGGCGGCCAATCTATTTACAAGGTGAACCGTTACATTCTCCACAAAATGATATTGGTTTTATATATTATACTAACATCATACTAATACCAAATCTAAATTAATTCTGAAACTTTTTGAAGATTTGCCTTTAAAATGGCTAAGAATTTTATTACATTGTCTATGATTGGAATGTTTTCCTAAATCCGAAAAGGAAACAAATCGAACTGAAATTTAATTTTCTATGGAAAGTAAAGATATGATCAAAAATTTAATCCAAACTAATAATGTTGTCGATTTGATTTTGGTTTGGTACCATTTATCAAAAAAACCTTAAAAACTAAATAAACAGCCCTTGTGTTTTTACATATTAACATGGGCTCATTGTAGAACTCAAATCCTATTTATCCGGGTCTAATTGATTTAAATCAAATTTGTGTGGTTGTAGAGCTGTGTGATACAAGTGCTAGGTGGGCAGCTAGGACCGGGGGTAACGGGTTACATAACGGCTCAAGGACGGGACAACCCCTATGACGCGAATGGATTTGTATTCATCAACTGCCTCGTTTATGGAACCGGCAAGGCCTACTTGGGCAGAGCCTGGCGGCCTTACTCTCGAGTTATTTTTTACAACTCGAACCTGACGGATGTGGTTGTTCCTAGAGGATGGTGGGAATGGAACCAAACGGGCTACAAAAAACAGCTGATCTTTGCAGAACATGGATGCTTCGGAAGTGGATCAAATACTGGAAAACGTGTGAAGTGGGTTAAGAAGCTGAGTGGATCTGCCGTCCAACAATTGACTGATCTCAGCTTCATTAATCGTGGTGGATGGGTTGAAGATTTACCCATCCCTGTTTAATCGAGACCTTTGCTTCTAGTTTTTTTTTTAGATTTCTTATTGATCATCCCCTTTTTCTTTAGTTTAACAAAATGTAGTAATTTGTTATGATTTGTGTCCTTTAAGCTTTGACATTGACATTAAAAAATAATAAAACATTTCAACGAGAAAACAAATAATCGATTTCAACAAGTAGCTCATGAGAAAACAAATGAAAGATCCATCAAAGTCTAACAATTCTCTGATGATTCCACACGCTTAACAGAATCATGAAGCTTCCCTTTGGCATTCACAACCAAATAATCAAAATCCTTAACAATATGCCTAATCTCTTCTCTAACAAGCAACTCCTCTAATCATCAACTGAGTTATGGGATCAATGGTGAAGCAAGAACACAGATGGGTTTCGAGTGAGCGAAGCAATTCGGGTTTAAAACTTTGTGCTCTTATATAATTCGGGTTATGGTTGCTTGATGCGTTCCAAATGTAAGTGATATCTTGTGATTTTAATGTTTTTTGGGCCTTGCTTTACCATTAAACTATGGCGTTTTCATGACATTTAGGTTGTTTAGATTGCATTTGCATCAAAATCTTTGACTTTAGGTTCTTGGAGTGGAAATTCAAGTTTTGGAGCACTTTGAGTCATTATTTGGAGCAAAATGGAGAAGAAATGGTGAAGCAAGAACAGAAGGCTCTACGGTGTCAAGCTTCGGCCATAACAAAACCGTAGGATCCCTATGGTCTCAAGCTTCGGTCAGATGCCCACCGAAGACGCCCAGACGACTCAACGGACAGAAGCAACTTCGGGATTGTGCTTCGGTTTGAATGTCTCCGAAGTCACCCTTCGTTCTTTTCCTTCGGTCAAAAGCATACTGAAGTCGTCTTCTTTATAGTTGGATCCAATTTGCGACCGGGTCAAAACCCGGTTTGTTCCGGGTTGACCCGTTTCTTTTATGCTTTGCTATAAATACTCTTTAACCTATTTAGAGTTCTCTTATGCTTTGTTTAGAGATCAAAAAAAAACTTCTCTTAAGGTTTCTTTCTAAGTTTTTGTATGAATCTTTGGTTCTTAAGCTTAAATATCAAGTACTTCTTTTAAATTCTCTTATCTACCTTCTCTAATTATGATTTCACAAAGATCAAACCTATTGCTTTGTGTAATCATGATCATGAGTGAGTAGTCATTTAGAGTTCTTGGGTTAAGGTAGATTAGGATGGTTTAGTTGTTGGGTTATGGAGTTTAGGGCTAGATTACTTAAGGTCCTTACTTATTGGTTGTTTATAATGCTAGATTAGCCTTGATCATGTTGATTTAGACTTTAGGGATTTCATGCCCGGAAGGTGTTCGATGAAATTCCCGAGCCAAAACCTTTAAGTGCTTTACATTCCTTACCTTTGGAAATTGTTGACTAGGGTGTTAAGTGGCTAGATAGACTTGTTTATAATGCTTGTTAGTCAATTGATTGCCTTTGGAAGAAGTTGATGATTAATTGATTAGTAAATGGACTAATGTCATGGAAATGTGTTAGTGTTGCTTAGTGTTCTATGGCCTAGGGATCATTGCTTATTAGAAGTTGTTTGAAGCTCCATAATCCACTTCTTAATCATTCCTAATCAATTCCCTTTAACCCGAGAATTCGCCTTTAGTTATCGTTTAGTAATTCGTTAATTTTCCGCTTTGTTTACTTTCGAAACTTGTTAGTCTTTTGCATTTTGCTTTCATTTGTTTTGTTTTGCATTGTTTGATTGTTATTTACTTTGTTGGTCATGTTTACAAAACCAATCATCTTAATAGCCTAGATTAAGCTTTTGCGTGTATTCCTAGTGAGTTGATCAATTGCGAATTGTGGTTCGATATTTAATTGAGTAAAAAGTACTACATCAGTAAGTGTGTGTAAGTTTGTTTTTTTTTGGACAGATTGTTCATGAGCTCTATTCTTGTCTCAGATGAAACATGAACTTTGTCCAAAAAAAAAAAAAAAAAAGATGAAACATGAACTTGATGTACTGATTTTAAGAGGCATGAACTTTTCTTCTTCGTGTTTTAGCTGATGATAATGGTTAATTAGAAAAGCTTGAGAAGTGAAGATGAACCTAGAACACGAGACAATCATGTGATGAGAAGCGCATAACAAGGATTAATCACAACCAAAGAACCTAAAATCTTAAAAACAAGAATCTAATGAAAAAACAATTGCCTCCCGCAACATACCAATCTTATTAATACTAAGAAATATCTTAACAAAAAGAAATAACTTATGTTTAATTTAATAATATACTGACACTGGTGAAGAATGTAAGCGTTTAATCATATACTTTTTCAACGATTATCCAACAAAGTGGCCAAAGCTAGAAATTTTATGCAACAAAAAATAAAAATCATGGTCAAAATAGGCATTAGTTTGCTGGTTTTGTTTTCCCGTTTTAACTTTTAAACTGAAATGTGTTCAAAACTCTAAACACGTTTTACGTTCGTAACTTCAACTTGTGTGGTTCGTGTTTGGCTTATAAGTAAATAAAAAAATATTTGTTCAAATCGATGGCCCAATAGACCCAAAAGATGTGAAAGCACTTCAAAACGAAATTGACCAAGTGGAAATAAATTAATTAAGGGAAAAAAAATATTTTCTGCTATTTTATTTCGTGCACATTAAGATTTTATTAATGATTAAATTAAAATTATATTTGACGTTTTATAATTGGCAACTTTCTCCCTAACATTTGTGTTTAAAACCCCAAATATCACTTTCCTTCTTTCATTCTCTCTTTCTCTTTCCATTTTCGTTTCCACCGACGTCATCGATCTAACCTCACACGCTCCATCTCTGCCGGAGACTTTTGCCGATTATCACTCTCCGTTCTCTCTCCTTCCGATTCCAGATTCCAATCTTCCTTCCTTTGTGATTTCTTTCGAAAGCCCTAATCTTTTTTGTTTCTCATCCTTGATTTAGCTTCTGAATCTGGAAAGTTTTTCCTGGAATCTTCTCAAATTTCAAGACTTTGATTCTGTGTAAGATTTGTCCGAAGGGATTAAATCAAAGATCTTATCTTTTTTGTTTTGGGATCCTTGTCTTGTTGATGGGCACAACTAGGGTTTGCTCGGAGGTTTCTTCTGGATCTTCGAAATCGCTTAGCCAATCTCTCACGGTATCGACATCTACCACAGAAACCGTCAATGGTTTCCATGAATTCAAGATCTGCGGCTATTCTCTCGCTAAAGGTGTTGGTGTTGGCAAATACGTCGCTTCCGATACGTTTATGGTCGGTGGTTACTCGTGGGCAATCTACTTTTACCCAGATGGGAAGAGTCCGGAGGATAACTCGTCTTACGTTTCTTTGTTCATAGCACTCGCTAGCGAAGGAGCTGATGTGAGGGCTTTGTTCGAGCTCACGCTTGTGGATCAGAGTGGTAATGGGAAGCATAAGGTTCATAGCCATTTTGGTAGAGCTCTCGAAAGCGGTCCATATACTCTCAAGTATCGTGGAAGCATGTGGTCAGTATCTCTCTCTATGCATGGAAAGTTTCAAGCTTGCTATAATAGTTCACGCTTTTTGTGATGAATTTAGGATTTTTGGATATGGGATTGTGATAGATTGATATGTTCTGGTTGCTTACAATGTTGATAATGTGTTTGTTGGTTGCTTGGTTTAGGGGATACAAGCGGTTTTTCAGAAGGTCCGGTCTAGAATCGTCGGATTATTTGAAGGAAAATAGTCTCTTGGTTAGGTGCCGTGTGGGTGTGGTGAAGTCAGTTACGGAGGGACCAAGGTATTACAATATCCCTGTGCCAGTCTCTAACTTGGGACAACAGTTGGGAAATCTTTTGGAAAGTGGGAAAGGCTGTGATGTTATTTTCCAAGTTGATGGAGAAACATTCAAAGCACACAAATTGGTTCTTGCAACGCGTTCCCCGGTTTTCAAGGCACAGCTTTTTGGCCCGTTAGGAGACCGAAATACCAAATGCATAACGATAGAAGACATGGAAGCACCCATTTTCAAGGTCTCCCCTTTAACCCTCTTTCTGGGAATACATCTGTTAGATTTGGGAATGTGTAAGTAGATTATCTACAGTCAATGGGTCTTACATGGTCTTATAGGAAGAGAGAGATTTCTTGGTTCCTTGCCTTTTTTTTTTTTTTTTTTCGGGTGAGTGATGGTGGTGTCATACAGGATTGTCTATTCACGGATGTACCATCCGGGATCTCCTGGGGCGCTACTCCTGTTCTCGAGTTTACTCACCCGGGATAAGGTTCTTTCTTTCTGCTTCTCTTCTTGTTTTCTATGTACCTAATACATGGACATATCTATGTGTTTATGCGTCTTAATTCCTTTTCCTCTTAGACGTATTTATGTGAGTCAACTAGATGAACTAATTGTGTCTTCAGCATATTAGAGAGGTTGGCTTGAGGGTTTAGAGTATAAAATTTCATGGGCGTATTTGACTGTAGAAACTTCATGTTCTATGATGTAAAAGTATGAATTTCTCCGTTTCCCATTGTTGCTTTTAGGATTATGAGTTCGGGCTCAGATCCTCACTCCTGGTAGTTTTCACCTGGATGTGTAACCTGACACAAACCCTTTTTCTATGTTGTTTTATTGCTGTTTTGCAGGTATTGCTCCATTTTATCTACTGGGACGAATTGCCTGATATGCAAGAGTTAATGGGCACGGACTCAACATTGGCGTCTACTCTTCTGGCTCAGCATCTACTAGCAGCGGCAGACCGTTATGCTCTTGAGCGGCTTAAAGCAATCTGTGAGTCAAAACTCTGTGAAGGGGTCGCCATAAACACGGTTGCAACTACCTTGGCCCTAGCAGAGCAGCATCATTGTTTCCAGCTAAAAGCAGTCTGTCTCAAATTCGTGGCACTGCCAGAAAACCTAAAAGGTAAACAAAAATATCATTCCTTTTGTTGTAAAATCGATCTGAGTCAACTGTCTGTTCACACATAATGAGACTTGTGTCTGTTTTTTTTCCTTTTGTTTTGATCAGCTGTGATGCAAACAGATGGGTTTGATTATCTGAAAGAGAGTTGCCCATCTTTACTAACTGAGCTATTGGAGTATGTGGCGAGGCTAAGTGAACACTCTGTTATAGCATCTGGACATCGGAAAGAAATATTTGCCGATGGTTGTGATGCGAGTGGAAGACGAGTGAAGCCCCGGTTGCACTGAATGGGAGAGAAAGAAGAAAGATTTGTGCATTGTATAATCTCTGTTATGGATAATGGCTGATCTAATCGGATCTAGCAAGTACAATGAATCATTTTCAATGCGTTTTTTCATAAATCAAAGATCCAATGAAATTTGGGGATTATTCTTGCTGTTCATCAGATTGAGTTCTTAGGATTTAAGAATTGTTGGCAATATAAGTGTTACAACGTAGATAAATAAAGGTTGTTTTTAAGAACACAAAGCTATGAAGACAAATTACATGACATGATCTGTAAGAAGACTCTCATTTCGCTCTTAAGCCATGTCTCTCTCATTTCGCTCTTAAGCCATGTCTTAGTCTCTTCCATGTTTCGGCTCTTAATAACACGATGGATGATTCAAAGGGCTACTCTTTAGCTCTCCCTGAGACGTGCAGTGGTAAAGCTAAAACTAGAACCAAAACATCATGTTTAATACCAGCGACTCATTGCAGTATCTTGTGCTGCAGCCACTTTTTGTGGTATATACTGAGTGTTTGGCTTCAATCTGCTTGGACCTTCGGCGGCGGTGGCGCAATCGTCATCACCTCTGTTGCTTTTGCAAGGTTGAGTCCTCTTTGGGTATTGAGACGCAGCAGCTGGATTTCTGACCATCCTTCGCTGTTGTTGTTCAAGAGCTTCAACGCCTGTGGCTGCGCCGCAGTTGTTATAGCGTAACACTGATCCAACTACTTTTCCAGGCCTAGCTACTGCCGCACCTGCTTCATTACAACCAGATAAATGTTCAGGAAACATATTTATTCTGCATCATAACATTTTATACAGAGAGGGTGAGAGACCTTGGATTGTTTGAGGGACGTTGATAGGAATTCTCGACATTGGCATCTGGGCATTCCTGTCTGCACCCCGAGGTCTCTCGTCTCTGATGCTACACTTGGAGAGTCCATCAGTGACTTCAGCTGAACTCTGTTGTGCCACCGGATGATTGTTATCGGAGTACAATACGCAAGCCCTGCAAAACATTTTAAAAAAAATAAGACTTTATTGAGCTGTTCGAAAGAATCCCAAAATTATCAAATTTTTAAAGGAAGTAAAGCATACCTTGGTAATGATGCATGCTGTTGTCTCTCAGGGGGATTATGAGAAGTACCATTCTTGTAGTGTTCCTCGAGGTAAGCAAATTGTTTCTTGAAATGTTCCACCGCACTGCAGAATGAATAATACATAAACCAAAAGAACATGGATAATACACAGGAGTATAGTATGAAGCAGGTCAGCTCAGGACGGTACCTCGGGTACATAAAGTTAGTTGGCTCTGATCCATCCAAGTATTCTTTCAGCATCTTTGGGTGGTACTCCAGAGACTCTCTGTATATGAGCTCTCGCACGTCTTCTTTTGTGATCCTCCGCCTTTCAAACTCAAATTCTAACTTTGTGACAGGTTGAGCAGAGGGCTCTCTTTCAACCTTAGCTAAACCCATGAAGTATACATCTGCAAGCGCCTGAGGTAACACATAAAACCATAATAATTTAGTAAACTATAACCAAAGTTACAACATAAGGAGTGTGAAGAGTGTGAAGAGTGTGAAGAACGAAATGTGTGAACCACCTCTTCAGCTGTAGGCCGGTCCTTGGGTTCAAAAGACAACATCTTTTCTAGAAGACGAAGAGCAAGAGGATCAGCATGTGGGAACTTATGTGAAAAAGGAATAGGCTTCTTCTTCCTCATGCTGCTTAAGTATCTTCGAGCTTTCTCGTTCCTCACCTGTCACATTCAGAACAAGCAATTCAGCCACAAAAAGAAACAATGCAGCTACGTTAAGCATTGTGGAAAGGGACACATACCCTTCCAATGGCTTCAGCAGATGGAGTTCCCAACATATCCGTCATCAGATCCAATTGATGGACCACATTTTTCCCAGGGAAAAGAGGTTTCCCTGTTAAGAGCTCTGCAAAAATGCACCCGATGCTCCATATATCTATTGCCGGTGTATACTGAACAGAAGCATAGATATAAAAAAAATGTTATCACAAAAATTTATAATCTGAATGAGAAAGCTATAGTGACTACTGACTACTATTCCCTATGAAGGATTTGAAACATTTGATGAAATGATGTATGCAAAATCATGGTCAACCTTTGAGAAAAATGATCCACACAGTTCTGGAGCCCTGTACCATCGAGTAGCTACATAATCCTGCGATCAGAAAGCAGTAGGAATAAAAATTGGTTTCATACCAAAAAGAGTACTCTTGTAAAGAGTAGGCATTTAAATTACTCACAGTCCAGAATATCGCAGTTGGTGTATCATTGAATGCGACTCTTGCAAGTCCAAAATCACATATCTTGAGTTTGCAATCAGCATTTGCCAATATGTTTTTTGGTTTTAGATCACGATGAAAGACATTAGCTGAAAGGAAGAGAAAAAAAGTATGTTGAGAAAGATGATCAAAAACTTATGCTAATCTATGAAATTTTATAGCTTGCTAGCTTAACCTGTGTGTATATACTTGAGGCCACGGAGAAGCTGATAGAGGAAAAACTGGTAATGCTCACGAGTCAAATCATCATTTGCCTTAATAACCTGATGCAAATCAGATTCCATGAGCTCAAAAACCACGTAAATGTCTTTAAACTCTCTTCTTGAAGGCGGTAACAAGATGTGTTTGATCTCAACAATGTCTGGATGGCGTAATAGTCTGAGAAGTTTGATCTCACGGAGAATGCGAGTTGCATCCGAAACATGCTCGAAAATATCATTGATTTTCTTAATCGCAACTTTCTCTCCAGTATGTGTATCGTAAGCCGAGCAAACAACTCCATAGCTTCCTTTACCAATAACTTCCTCTATTCTATATCTGCTTCCTTCACCGTATTCCGTGAAGAAATCTACCTCAACTGATGACTGAATATAAAGAAAAATCTATTGTCAATCAAAAGCTTCAAGAGAAAGAGAGAGAGATTAGGACTTCAACTAAAAAAGGCAGTGATAGTGTACAAGGATCGTGACAGATCCTAAGTAAGCTAATCGGATCTCGTATATCTCTCTATGAAGCAAATTTGACACATAAAGAGAGAGAAAAATTGGACCTTTTTGCGCTGATCAGGTTGCATCTTCTTCAGCTACAGAGCATCCAAAATACAGTTACGAAGAACAAATGGAATCTCTTGTCAAACCCGAACTTAGTGAGCTTTGAATCAAAGAAATGCAAAGACAGAGATCGAATTGAACTAATAGTCTACAGAGTTTTAGTTACAACGGCAATGTCAAAACCCAGAGCTCAATATCCAAATACCTAAATCCAGAATCGAATAGAAGAGAGATTGAAACAAATCAGGGTAGTTCCCGAGACCAAAAAAGGAGGCAAATTTCTGGTGTGGAACAACGAATACCTAATCGAGATTTGAGGAATCAGAAGAAGTAAGATGGGTAATTTGAGAATCAATCACTGAGAATGAAGAAAGACGAGATTTTTATCTTGTTCGATCAATCTCTGCTTGAAATAGCAAAAAGGAAAAAGGAGACAGTTTTTTGAAAGACGAGAGAAGCCCAAAAATGATTATTCTGAGCTAAACAAGTTTAAAGGATCTGAATCTCACGAAGCAGACCAAGGGGCTAAGTTTATTTCTCTCTGTGTAGAAGAAAGTGCAGAGAGAGAGATCTAAAATTTCTATGAGATGAAGAAGAACAGAATAAATATTAATTTATTATTCTTCTTTTTTTTGTGATAATTGAAAAAGTGGATAAGTGGAGTCTGATTATCGTTGTACGAAAATTCCAATTTGCCCCCAGGTTTATTATGGGTACTTGCGACTTTGGTGTTAAATCTAGCTTTTGGATAATGTCCGAACGACCAATATAATAGTGTGGATATTTTTGTATCAACTAGTATTTTTATATTTTCATCATTTTCATCTTAAGCCTATTAATAATAGGCTATTATTATGAATTAATGAACACTTATAATTATTTAAATAATAACATTTTGTTTGTTTTAATTATTTATTTGGTGTTTTTGTTGTTATTTAAGACATATAAATGATTTTGGATAACAATCTGCTTGCTTTAATTATTTATTTTGTGTCTTTTTTTGTTATTTAAGACATATAAATGAAGTGGATGATCTTTTGCTGTCAAAAAAAAAATGAAGTGGATGATCAAATAAACAATGAACGATCCTCTAAATGTTGTAAGACAGCTTGACTAGACGGAAATCATCACCATCATCAGCGCTGTGATTATCACCTAGCTAGCGGCGTGGTTAACACCACGGTCGATAGTATCGTTGTCACTACGACATGCGACAATTACGAATAACCACCTTTAATTAACACGAAAACAACTTGTGTTGAAATACTAACTTTTATGTTGAGAAATTATTTTTAAAAATGACGATCAGAGATTAAAGCACAAAAAAAAATTGCATCAGAAAATGATAGTTTTATATGATCATCTAACTAATTAATAGTTTTTAAAAAAACTAATTAATAGTTAGATGATCATATATTTAGATATTTCCGTTAAAATTAAAAGTGAATAGTTAGATTTTTTGTATTTTGAGCATAGTTAATGAATAACTATAACACTTCGAAACAATCAATTTATTTTTTAAATCGAGTTTGATAACAATGAAAAATAAAGAAGATATTTAAGTATTAGAGACAACAATGAATTATGTATTATGTACAACAATACAAAAATTCTTTTATAAATTAGTCTACCCAACATCCACTCTAGTTTTTATTTCAGGTATGTATTTCATATTTTCTCTATTTTTTGAAACAATTATTTTGATTTTCTTATGCGTATATTAATATCAAATATTTTCTTTAATTTGTATCTTACTTTAAAATGTATCATGCCAACTAAATAATAAAGGTATTAATAAGACAGAACAAAAATATACGTTCATTTTCAGATAATAAAATACTACACCATTAATAAACAAACCCAAAAGAAATCAAGGGGAGAACGAAGGGCCACGAAGAACTGTGGAAATGCTTCAGTCCATGTGCATCACATGACTTTTATTATTAGGTATCATTACCAAAAATTAATATGTGGACTAATTATTATCTTTTTATTTGTTAACTTCTCTAATGATTGTTTCTTTTATGCATTAAAAAAATGTAAACTTTTGAATGTTTCTTAAAGAATGTATTATTCAACGCATTAATATTTAAAAAGGTTTTTAAAAAATTCTTTCTTTTGAGCATTTCAAACCTCAAAGCTTGATCCATCTCAAAAACTCAAATTCATTTCATTACAAACATCTTAGGATCATACTACTTAATCATATAATGACATATTAAATGGACATACAAGTCTATGCCAATTAAATTCTACTCTCTACGGAAAACAATGGCTAATCCGTCGAAAGTCATTTTGCTAAGTTCAATCTGACCATTTTGTAAAATAGTAACCAATACAATAAGCGATTTGTTTGATCACTTCTTAGAGTGTGGGTAGCTTTCCCCTTATAAAGTTTGAAATTACATCTTGAAATATATGGAGATATTTTAAATTTTAGAATTGGCAATTATCATTTTTCGGTTGGTTTATATCGGTTATTTTACCATAGAATTCAACATAAAATAAATTGTTCACTTCAGAAAATTCATAGAAATTTCTTTTTAAGATGGAACCATTTTGTAAATGAAAATCTTTAGATATTGACCAAATTTTTTATTTTATTTAAACAGTCCATGATGTACGTAAACTACGATCTAAAGGGAAGACAGTAAAAAAATTTCCCAACGCGGATTGCCTCCCACCACACGATTGAAGGGAATTGAAACATTCAAATTATATAATTTTTACTTTTTTAAGTAAAAGTTATATAATTTTTAATATTAAGAAATAATTAGAAAAATTCATGCGCTTTCGTCTGGGCAATAACGAACGAGCTCAGCTTTGGTAGAACCGTAGAAGTAGAACCCACAAACAAAAACACGAGCTGACCAAAGTACAGACGCGTTAGCCAATTCACCGTGTAGTCCAACGCGCTAATTATGTATTTAACTCGTTTCTACTAGGCCCTAACAATAAGCCCACTAAAGAGCTTACGAGACTCGAAACAATTCACACAACACCACTGAAGGCACGTGACCACTCAACATCTCTTGTTCGCATCTCTTCTCTGACCAAAGCTACATCTTCCCATCTCCCTGCGTCTGCATAAACGTTCGAAAGCATAACTTTGCATCCTCCGTGAGATGGATCAATCGCCGCCAGCTCAGCAGCCGCAAGCTCAGCAATCTCGACGTTCCCGTGAATCCGTGAAGCCGATAATAACATCCCCCAGATCATCACATCCGCCTTAACCGGCATCTTCTTGATCATTTCTTTTGCTTCCTCTAACTTCCCAGCTTTTCCCAACAAATCAACCATACATCCGTAATGCTTGATGTCTGGCTCGATCCCGTGATCGCTCTTCATGCTTTCGAAATACGTTTCACCTAACTCCACTAGGCCTGCATGGCAGCAGGCGCTCAAGACACCGACAAAAGTGATGCTGTTTGGTTTTATTGGGAGAGATTGGAGATCGGAGTAGAGATCAAGTGCTAGTTTTGCGTGGCCATGTGTCGCTGACCCGCAAATGATGGCGTTCCACGGAGAGATTGTAGAAGAAGAAATGTTCTTTGTTTGGCGGAAAATGTTTAGAGCGGTTTCGATGCTTCCACATTTGGCGTACATGTCAATTATAGCAGCGATTAGATTGTCGTTGGGAGGAATCGAGCTACGGTTTAGATACTCATGTGCTCTCTTCCCTTCTTCCAACGATCCTAGAGAAGAAACTGCAGAGAAAACACTAACCATTGTGATTGCATCTGGTTTTACTTGGCTACTACTGATCATTTCGCGGAAGAGATGTAGAGTTAACTGAGGCGATAAACTCTGCGCGTAACCCGACATCATAGCGTTCCATGAAAAGATATCTTTATCACGAGTCTGATCAAATACTTCTCTTGCCAGCTCAACCATTCCATTCTTCACAAATCCTGCAATCAACGCGTTTCTCGATGCGATGTGGTCCTTAACGCTCGCTTCAAACTGCTGAAGAGCGAGTTCCATGTCATTAGAGACAGCGTAGAAATGTATGATCGTTGCTTGTATGAAATCATAACAATCAAAACCCGTTTTCACAATGGTACCATGAAGTTGCAAACCCTTGGAGCTACCCACTGATCGAGCTGAAGCCGAGAGAAGGTCCACCATCATAACTTCACTAGGCTTCATTCCACGGCGCAGCATCTCGGTGTAGTAAACAAGAGCTTCGTCAAGCTGATTCTTTCGGAGACACCCATCAATCATTGTACCCCACGAGACAATATCTTTCTCAGTAATCTGATCAAACAATTCCTTAGCTTGTTCGATAAGTCCAGCTTTTGAGTACCCATTTAACATCACGTTCCAAGTAACTAAATTTCTCTCAGGCATTTCATCAAACAACTTCCGAGCATCCTTCAAACATGAGCAGATACAATACATATGCAGCAAATTCGTCGAAACAAAAACCCGATCATCAAGCTTCAGCTTAATAGCCAAACTATGCAACATCCTACAATCCCAAATCCCACCCAAATGTGAGCAAGCAGATATAACAGTGGCTAAAGTCACTTCATTTAGCATAATTCCCAAATTTCTCATCTCCCTAAAAAGCTCCATAGCTTCACTCCACTGATTGTTTTGAGCATAACCCTTTATCAAAGTAGTATACGAGACACAGCTTCTCTCAGGCATAACGTCGAACAACTTAAGCGCATCCCCAAGTCTACGAGATCTTACATACCCATCAACCATAATATTGAACGAAGCAGAATCAAGCTTCGCGTGAGCCCGGAAAACAGATTCCGCATCAGCCAAGAGACGGCATTTAGCGTACATGTTAAGAACGCTATTACAGATGAATCCATTAGAATCAAGACCTGATTTCAAGACACGGCCATGGATTTGTCTGCCACAAGTGACGTCATTACTAGAGGCGCACGATCCAAGAGCGGAGACAAGAGCTCGTTCAATATTGGAGCTCTCGCCGGAGAAATCGAAGTGGGTCAGACTCGGAGAGGAGAAATATCTCGCCTGCTGAGAAGAAAAGACCCGACAGCGACGAGAACAGAGAAAAATAATCGATTTGATCATAAGAGACCATGAGATCAACAAAGCTGAAGGTTAAAGCTCGAGTTTTTATACTTCTCTCTCGTCTTCTAAAGCGCACAGAGCAATATATAGGTTCGTGTGTTTTGTTCAGAAAAAGACAACATTGTCTGCTGTGAATTAATGACCACAAATACAACAAAAGGCATTTGATTTGATCATTCGAATTGGATTTTTCTTTGTATATAAGTTCCACAGAGGAAGTGTTGGAGAGTAATAAGACATTTGAGTTTCAGGAATTTAACTCTAAAGGAAATGGAAAAAATCAATAATTTTATATTTCTCTCCTAATCCTAATGAATGTTATCCGAGAAGAAGAAGAAGAACCTCTGCAACTGCAACATTTCAATGTGATAATATGTAAGTATAGATTGGAAAGTTTCCGGATCAGCGATTGTCGACACATCCCTTTACAGCTAATTTGCCCGGCGATCTGCAGAGAATACGTGCAAACAAAGTAAGATACACAACAGAAGATTGTAAAATCATATACTAATCGCAGTGAATCAAAAATGGAATCCTGAAGCTTTATTATAATCAATAACCATTGGCAGTTATGATGAATTTAGAAACCACCAAGAAAACAGGAAAGCAAAGCACCAGCAGATTTAAATAAAGGTATTAGTTACTACAAATAAAAATGGACTGTTTCTCCTCTATGGTAGGTAATAAGCTAGACAGAAGCTATCCATATTGTCCTAGAGTGTGGAACTACTTTTCACCGGAAAAGAAAAGAAGAAGACAAGTTTATGGCAAATTATGAATAACTCATCCAAACGCAGTTTGCGTCATGTTAGAACAAAATCTCATCGAGTCAGAAGAAACATTTCCCGCCTTCGTTGCAATTGACTCACCCATTACTTCATATTCTAAACATGATCCTAAAGTTTGAATCTTTTAGCATCTCACTATCCAGTTGAGCTATTACATAACTACTTAAAAGTGATATTAGGGACATTTCAAATCACAACCGGTATATGATGCACATGTTCTATGATAATGGCTGCATGTGCGTTAACTCTCTCAACCAATATAACGTTATGGTGATAGAGGCTACCATACAAACATTACTTTAAACAAATAGATTCCATGTTCAACTGTCTCTTTCATCTCTCAAAAACAAGATTCAATCTGCTAAAACAACCACAAAACTACTCATCTATCCACAAATTGACAATGTCATTCATCATTACAACTGGAATAAGCCAACCTACCACGAGGAATAACAAAGCCGAAATCACCATTATCGATAAGAAACGAGTATCAAAGCCTAAAGACTTGTCTTAAAATCCATAGCCACTTAGCCAGTGAGGATTACATAAACATATATGTTCACTACAAACTGATCTCAAACTTATCAATGGCAATAGAAACGTTGCAGGAATTGGATTAACAGAACCAGTGTGGCCTAAATTCACAACTCATTCAAGACTTAACTTTTCACACACCAAACAAACTACAACATTATGAGTTCGAAAGACACTTACTTTTTATGACGCCGACCTCTCTTAGGTCCCCAACCTTCAAGCTTAGCAATAGGGCAACCACATTTTGATCGGAAAATCAAAACAGCTCGACCATTAACCGGAGCCATCTTCCTCAGCTCAGCTCTCAAACACTCATAATCAGGATTACTCTCACTACCTCCTTTCCACGGTAACCGATCAATCTCCTTAACCGTACCGGATTTAACACATTCCTCTGTCTGTAACTGCAAATCAAACTCCATAGCTTTCTTCAACCCTTTACACTTAGGGTTACGACATTTCCTCGATCGTGAACCACAACACAGGTCAAGAAACGCAATTGACGCCGCGAAGAAAACTGCGAATGCGAAGAAGAACGATGCCGGAGGAGGAATTACTCCGGAGGGGTGATGATCTTCATCGTCGGTGTCGTGATCGGAGGAGAAGAAGAAGATTAGAGGAGGGAGGAGAGAGGAGAGGGAGATGGTGATTGAAGGGAAATGAGAGGAGAGGAGAGATAAGGAGTGGATTAGGTAGGAGAAGTAAGAGGAGAGGAGGAATGTGCCGGAGAAGAGGACGAGGATTAGGATTAAGAGGTCGAGAGTCGCCGACGGTGAATGTTTGCAGAGATGGAGAGAAGAGGAGGAGCTTTGATTAGTGGTGGATCTAGAGGATGGGGGCATGCTGGTGGAATCTTCTTTTGCAGCGGTGGTGGTGGAGGCGGCGGAGGAGGAGGAGACGAAGAGGAGATGGAGCATGTTAGGAGGAGGACGACGGTGGCCGGTTTCTTTTACATGTAAGTCTCTGTGTATGTATAGGTTTGGAAATAAAATTAATTTTTTGAAGAATTCTTTGTGAAATATATAAATACTGGAAAATAGTCACGAGAGAAGTAATTAGGTAGAAAAACATTTTGGAAAACTTATTTCAAATTTTTTTATTTAAAAACTTACACAACACGAAACAAGAATAAAGTTGCCGACATGGTCGACACTGCTCGACCGATAGAATGTAGCACGAATTTTTTTTACACAATAATCTATTTCTTTCCGAAATTATATTATAAACAAAATTAAAAGTTTAACTTAAGAACACATACTTATATAATTAATTAATTATATCTAATTTGTTTTGCAAAATAATACAATAAGCTTGGATTAATTAGGAACAGAGGAAATAAATGTTAAGATCATTTATTTACAAAAAGGAAACCGGCATGTGGTCTCCGGCGACGGGACAATCCAGGCTGACCAAATTTAACAAGAATGAACCTGCCATCAAAGAACTAAACCAAAAACCAGTATCAACAACAATTTCATGTTACTTGTTCAATAATTAAAACCAATCTAATCAAGAACACAAGCTACTCTCGGGCGGGTTTTGGTGGGCATCCTCGAGAGCTTTCGGGTTCTTACCGGGTTCCTGAGACCCGGGATCAAGCTACTAGGTTTGGTCAAAAGGATCTTGAAGACCCACCAAGGTATGAAACCTACACCGCAAAGCATAAATTGAGTTTCAAAGAAGTTTAAATACCTTTCCGTTCATGGCATCGACGGCCAACTGTGCGTCCTCTTTTCTGTTGAACCAGACATATCCGTATCCTAGAGACTGCCGAGTCCTTTCTTTTACGATGATTTTTACTGCCAAAAATGAAGTGCTCACGGTAAGAAAATAAGATCGAGCTGGTTTTGACTGATTCTATGAGCAAGCTGACCTAATGCTACTCTTAATGCTTTTAAAGCTAAATCCGCAAGTAGGTTTCAAATCATAAAATAGACTCACCAACCACAAGCTTTGCTTTAGTTAGCTGACCTAGCTTATGTTTTAGAGTAATGTTTTCAAAAACGAGGGGGAAAAACAATCACCAAGAAGACACACAAATACTAAAGAGAATGTATAATCAGTAACAATTCAATAGAAAAGACCGGGAAAATGATGACGACGTATCGATTTACATCAGCAAGATTTTATACTTATGTCCTTCGTAAGTCATTGATTCCAGTTCCACCATAAACACTATTAAATGAGAGCTCATGGGAATGCAAACATGAAGTTGTAGTAATCCACATGAATATGAAGAAGAAAAGCAGAGAAGTTTTTAGCAAATCAGTGGCTTCAGTTTAAAGCTCATGAGGACTTAATTTATTCGTTTCAGAGCTTCCATTTTTTGCTTCTGCTCCACACCATTTTGTGATATCAAAAGCACATACTCTTCCATCATCATATCTTGGTTTTGATTCGGACCACAACTCATGGTAACAAAAACCTCACCAAAACAGATCATCGATTTTGTACGTTTTGCTATACTAATATAACTTCTCTGTTTTAGTACCACAAGCTCTAGTCCGAATAAGATTAGGAACTTTTGATATCACTGAGTGGTCCAGATCAGAGACAATGGAAGCACTGACAGCATTGCTTATCACAGTCAAGAGCTTGAAGAGAAACCATTGATTTGCATAACAAAGTCTCTGCCTTTTCTTCTTCTCTCCCTAATGGACCTCATCAATTTCATTCTCGATTAGGATTGATCAGTTGCAATTTAAATAATGAGGTTCAAATCAACCTATTGGCTATATTCAATGTTCATGTACAGGAATCATCCTACAGAGAGACTCACCATTGGTAACTTGTCCAAACTCGGAGAAGACTTTCTTCAAACGCCCTTCACTCACTGAATCCGAAAACCCTAATAGTGGAAACGGATTCAATTTCGTAAAAACCTAAGTACAAGAACATAATTCAAAGAGGAAGGATAAAATCAAAACATACCCTTCACGAAAACCGAAGAGATCGAAGTAGGAAGAGAAGATGCTTCTCTGGTTCCATCGTCTCCGGCGACGCAGCTAATGGTCCGGAGAGGAGAAGAACAGGATTTGCTTCGCGCCGTATGAAATGACGAAATCAAACGACATCTGGGAATTTCCGTCGTCGGTAAATTAAGTGTTCTCAGATTTTGAGACGTTCCGAAGAATTGGTGTTTGAATAACGGAATTTGGGAAGTAGACGAAGACAGTGCCATCTCTGTCGAAGTACGTCGCCGGCGACAAAACCTTAGAAGTAACGACGACCTTCTTCTTATTTTCGGCTCGTTAACATACCAATAGGCTTATCTGACCATTTGGGCCTAATATTTTGGCCCATAAGAAGCAAGATTTTTGTTATACAATTTTGGTTTTCAAGAGATGGAGATAGTCGAAAAATGAACGGTCTAGTGAGTGAAGTCTATGCCCGGTAGATAAATGGTGATTAGTATGAGTGAGTAGAAGATTTGTAAGAAAGTTTGGAACTACTGGATCTAGTCATACATGAAAGCAAATCCAAAGCAAGATAGGTTTGTGTTCAAATGAGCTTAATAAACTATATCTAAAACTGATTATAAGATAGCTCATTGAGCTTTATTGAACAAGAAATGTAAAAGAGGAAATGAGATTTAAATTGTCACCAACAACACAATAACTATAGATTTGATTTTATAAAAGGGGAAAGAAAGGAGCGAGCAACCCTCTAGGTTAACAACTTTGATGTTCATTATGAATTTGCTTAAACCTAATTTCATGGACTAATAATGCGTTTCTCATAAGACTAATCTTTGAGTTTATACGGATTCTCTAATAATCCAAGCGTTAAGCGAAAGTAAATCTTGGATGGAAAACTAAGATTTCTTCCTCGCATGCATGTTACAGAGGACGTCATATCTAGACATAAATAGTTTAGTAATATTAATCTAATAATAATGGTCATATTCATTTATATAAGTTTGACAAGATAATTTTAAGTATAGCAATTCTTTGATATTTTAAAATCACTTAATCTTTGTTGAATTAGATATTACATGATGAAGTATTTTCTTTATTATTTTCCCGTTAGTAATATCAAACTAATCTACTCAGACATATGTATAACCACATCTTGATACACTTTTTGTGATGAGTTAGAAACATGTGATTTTAGAGACAATTGTGTGTTAAAACCAAAAGAATTTTTTTTTTTAATGATTTTGAAAAAGAATTTAGTGACTACTGTACAAATATAATTCTTAAATATCGCAAACGCATCTCATCAAAATTTCTTCATGTCTTCTCGGCCAAAAAAAAAGTAAAATCTTGTAGTGGCCGAAAATTAGACGATAACTGCGTACTTCCACCAATAGCGTATGAGAATAAAGATTAGCAACTTGTCTTATAGACATAACTAATCATTAATTAATCATTGCCCATAACTTTACTTTAAATTTCAAAGATGATGAGACTTAACTGACTAATGCATGCATCTTTCCAAATGACAGTTTTTCGTGAGTTATATTCTCACATAAATAATTCATATAAGAATAACTCACGAAAATTAGAAAAAGTATATGTCTTTAATGACTGATTTGAAAGTACATATAAGTGGAACATACTTTACTTAGCTTAAATAAAACTGAGTTAGTCAAATCACACGTTAATATTCGCTTAAGAAAATGAAAATAATTCAACAATGCCAATTGATATCGAGTTGTTTTTCTTTGACGACACGCATTGATACAAAGCTGTAAGATAAATAAAGTAATACTAATTGAAATGTTGGAAAAATATATTATTGTTATGAAAAACAGCTTGTGGCTCGAATACATCTAACGTGACAATGCCTAATGATTGAGGCATTCAAAACTCTAAAACAACTTGCCTAATGGGAATAGTTTTTGACATCCATCCCACATTTTGGTCCAATTATTGCAGATTTACAATATTTATACCTCAACAAAATGCAATTTTTTTTGTCAAAGAACAAAATGCAATTTAGTTATGATAAGAGACAATAAGTATTTATCTAATGGTAGCTAAGCTTAATATACTAAAGCCTAACGCGTATTGGTAGACGATATTGATGGTTAGCAGAACCAACATGTTACATATTCTAGTATGATTATATTCACCCTCAAATTCAATGCATGCAACTGGTAAGCATAAATATCCTAGTTACCAAAATTCAGCTACTTTTTCTTTTCGTTTAAGGGATAAATAAACTACCATTCCTTGGGATTTGGGTGTAGTAAACTAATAATCCCCCAAGATACATAGTTGTTGTGTTTAGGTTTAACTTCTTGTGATTCCTAAACTCTCGTTTTCTCATTTTTATGATATTTACATTATTATTAAGGGAAAAAAACTAGTTTGACCCAGAAATAAGGTTTAATTACTAAAATAACTCATAAAATATATGGGTTAATCTAGTTATTTTCCTGACCAAAATACCCTTTGTCTCTTTGTTAGGAAAAAAAATAAAGTCAATATTACCCTCTGATTTTTTTGGAAATGTGGTGAAATTTTTTCGAAAAAAAAAATCTGCCGTTAAAAGTCTGTGGGCGTCGTTGTGACAGATTTATTTTCCCCGACAGATTTAATAGTCTACGACAGATTTTCTATGGCAGTTTTTTTTCCTCCCACAGACTTATTTGAATATGGTTACGACAGATATTTAATTTGTAGCAGATTTTTTTCCTTTGCCAGACTTATTTTATGATGACGCCTCAGACTTTCGTAATTTTGACAGTTTTATTATAATATGTAGCAGATTTTTGTTTCTAGTGGTGTCAGACTTATATTTTTTGGAAAAAAACTGTCATAATACAGCAGATTTGTTAATAAAAAATAATTACTAATTTGACTTTTTAGTGCTCACAGATTTGTTTTACGTTATGACAGATTTTTTAATGTTAACAAAAAATCTGGAATGTTATAGCAGATTTGTTTAAAAAAATTAAAATTGCTAGAATGACATATAGTCGCAACCGATATGTTTAACGTTATGACAGATTTTTTTTATGTTATGCCAGATTTATGTTTAATTTACAAAAATCTGCTGTTTCATAGCAGATTTCTTGAATTAAAAATAAATTATTGGAATGACTTATTTAGTGACAACAGATTTTTTCATGTTATGACAGATTTTTATTTTATCATGACAGATTTGTCGTATTTTATCACGACAAGATTATGTTTGGCAATTTTTAAAAATATCTGTAAAATTAGGATACGGCAGACTTAATTTTAAAGTAACAGACTTGTTAAAATTAACTGCCATATTTGATTTTTAATTTAAAAAAAAACGAATTTAATTTTTTTTTTAAAGGAAATGGCATAATGAAAGGTTAAATAGTCTTTTTATATAAAATTTGGGTTAGTCCAGTTATCCATTTGGATTGAGAGTCATTCTAGTTATTTTTGCTAAGTTTTGAGTCAAACTGGGTAAATTTAACTATTATTAATAGCGCAAAATAATGACTTTTTAGACAGAAATGAAAACAATTTTGGTCAAGAAATTGTTTTTTCATCAAATAAATTTAAGTTTGGATCCGACAGGGCTGAAAACAACAGTTTTCTTAAACTATTAAATAAACTGCATAAATGTACAATTGTCACTCTATTCTGCATTTGCACGTAACAATCAATAAACAAGACAATTTACAAGAGTTGACGACATTGAGCTATATAATTCAAGACAAGTATTTAAGAAAATTTTATTTTCAACTATATATTTTATACATACATCTCTTCAACTTACTCAAGCCAACTAATCCATTGAAATAAATAAATGAAACACATAAACTGTACATGAAATTCCTTTTTAATCAAACCGCAACACACTCCAACAATCCTAAATTTACAAATCATTTGAAAATAACAAAGGAGTCATATGGTAAATACAGAATAGTGAACGAAAAAAAATATATATACAGAATAGTGAAGATTTTTCTTTACGTATGCTAACAATATAAACGGCAAATCTTTATAAAATTCCAGGTTTTTAATAAGTGATAAAGACTAGTTTGGTTTCGACTTTCGAATTTTCTGATTAACAAATAAAAAATCTATAAATGGAACGAATAAATTTAGAATTTTAAGCCATGCCAATTTTTCGAGAAAAAGGCATGTATTCATATTTTGGGTGTGTGGCGGTGGGTAGTGGGCATCAACTCACACAAGAATCTCTCTTCGAATATATAATTTTTCCTCACGGACAAAAACTGATGTATTGTTTTTAAATCGTAATAGAAAATCCATTCGTCTTTCCTCATTTTTTTTTAGTAATGAAATTGATATTACTAATACATACAAGCTTATGGACAAAGACGATTATAAACAATATTAACAATAATCACTTCACAGCCGTTTGATTGGATTATTTAACCACATCACGTCACCCAAACACGTATCGGACGGCAATCCGCCGTCAAAAGTTGGATCCTTATTCTTTTTTATTTGGCAAAACCGCGTTGACCAACGACTTCTTTTGTCTTAAACCTGACTAATCCACCGTATTAACCGTACACTAATCCGCATCACATCCTAGCCCTAAAGTACTATACCCCGAAAACAAATTACAAGGGAATCATTTGTCTGTGTCCGCCCCGCGCGTGCACTTCACTTCCCTTAAAACTGATTTTTTTTCCGTTTAACCGTAACACACTTTTTTTAGTAACATAACAGAATAAAAAGGTCATCATCTTCTCCGAGACAGCGACCCATCTCGCCACGTGGCATTATCATGGCTATATCCTCTTTCCGACCAATCTCGCCACGTGGCATTATTATCGTTTTCTTTTCTTTAAACTTCCCTTTTTCCGTCATTGATTTGTTCCTTTTTGTTTAACCTCACCGGGAAATCGCCGCCACGGCGGCTGGAAGAGGTGGAACGGCAGAGATCTCAGGTAGGAGAATATCGGCACCGTCTAAATGGTGGTCATCGTTGTAATTAAGGAACCTTTCGACGGCGAGTGCGCTCGGATGAGCCACTGAGTTATCCCAAGCCTCATCGGCTTCTTCTCCTCGTCGGAGAAAAACCTCCGTAGCGTCGACACGGTGCATGTTCCATTTCCACTGCTTGTAAAGCCTCTGAATCTTCTGCAATTGTCGACACGCAAGCAAACAAGTGTTCTCTTTAATTTTCTCGATCGCCGTTTCAAGAAGTCTCTCCGTCGTCTCCGCCGGATAATTCCGTAACTCCGCCCGGAGAAATTCGTCGAGCTCTGGAACTCCGATGGCACGTCGGATTCCAGCGGAGTAATCCGATGAAGACGGATCGAAGATGCGGCGAACCTCGTCGACGAGACCCATCTCAACCATCTTATCGACTCGCTCCGAGACAAAAGAGTGTAAAACCGGTCTAGAGACGTCGACCCACAGGAAGCAACAATTATACCTTAACCGGAAGTCAACGCAATCGTTGACCAGAGCCTCGATGTAAGAATTGGAACCACCAGCTATGATCGGGACACGGCCCCTCTGGACAATTGACTCAACGGCCCTGATCGCTTCCCGTTGAAAATCCTCCGCCGTGAAATTTTCGTAAGTGTCGTGGACGGTGCCGAGGAGGTGGTGAGGGATGCCAAGGCTTTCCTCAGGAGTGACTTTGTTTGTCACGATGTCTAGACCATTATAGACTTGAATCTTGTCGGAGTTTACGATCTCCGCCGGGAAACGAGTGGCTAGGTCAATGGCTAGACGAGATTTGCCGGTTCCGGTGGCGCCCATAACGAAAACAACCTTGTCTTTTCGCCGGAAAAACGGAACATCAACCATGTTTCCGTGGAAGTTCAACAATGGTTGAATCACTTGTCTTAGAGCCGTCATGCATGGCTTCATTCTTATAAAAATTCCTTCAACTTCACCTGCTGGATTAATTATATAATTAATATTTTAAGACAGATCTAATTAGAAGCATAATAACATGCAATAGATTCGTTTGAGGTCAAAGTAAAGACACCGTTACCGGATATTACTAACCTTGAAGTGGCTTGTTCCCCGGAGCACTGTCTCTTCCCTGTCAAATTTCTATAAAAAAATAACAATAATTCTTCTTTTTTTCTTGGTAATTAGGAAATCTTGAAGAAAAATGTGAGGAGAAGGCAAGTTAAAGATTCTAGCTCAGGTGTGATAGTTACATATATAGAGATACTGAAACTATATTGCTCTCAACGAGCATATGTTGTGGAAAGGATCGGGGCTTCGAATTTATAGTGACTGGAGGATTGTTACAGTGACATGTTATTCATTTAATTTTGTTTTATATTTTACAGACACTTGCTCCATAACACGTGTCGTCTCAAAATGATACATACATATATCACTATTTCTTTCACTTAAGAATCACTGGGTGATTGGCTCTTTCACCAAGTTAGTACGTATAACGAAAAATAATAGGCAGTAGGAAGAATATATTCAGAAAGAAAAAGAAAGAAAAAAACAAGTAAATATTACTTCTAGCTACATCAGGGGTTAGGAGTCTGATTACCAGTAAATGCGAGTTATGTAAACTAATGGAGGTGATTTATTCATATGTTGTGAATTCTAACACATATAAGAAAACTCAAATACCCTCGCATGTTTGATCGGGTTCGGATCTTATCACTATATACATATAAAAAAATTCAATTTGAGAAAAAAAAACAATTCAATGTAAATATATAGAAAACTGATTTCAAAGTACTGGAATCAACTAAGATTAAATTGGTGCTGCGATTTCTGACTCGAATTAATTATGGTCTCGAAGCTTTTCTATATTTTGGCTTTCGGTTTTTTAGCTTTTTGCTATTTGGCTTATTCCCAAACATCCATTTTAATTTTTTTTGTTAATTGCCACTAACTATTCTTAATTGAAATGGGACGTTCAAAACATACATTGTTAACGGTGTTTACTGTTTAGGAAAGCAAAACATGTAAAACACTAAAACTTATGACTTAAACATACCCTAATAGCCTTTCAAATCTAAAAGCTTTAAAAACAAAAACAAAATATTCTACTCGATTTGATTGAAATTTGTTGATATAAAGTATAGAACTTTTTTGTTGTAATTTTTCTATACTAATAAGCAATTATCGTCATTAAAACAGCCTAGAATCATAAGAACTAATTTGTCATATGAGTACACATCTTGAAACAACCTTTAGATATTATAACTTTATGGGTTTTAAGTAAAGATGTGTTTTGTTAGGAAACTGAATGTGACCGTTTGCAAAAATGAATGGAATAGTACAAGATTTTTTTTGCAATTCAGTTCATATATTTGCTAGACTAAGAAAACAAAAATAAATCCAAAACAAAATTGTATTGGATATCTAGAAAAGATCACTACCACTCAAAACCTAAAATAATCTTATACGTTTCTTATGATAAGAGATAAATCATATAAAAATTTGCTTGTACGAGAGTCCTTATCATTAGAGGAAACATAGATTATATGATGAGTTTAAGTTAGTGGGTTGGACTAAATTTATATTGATTGGACGTTTAGTGAATGGAATAATTTAAGCTAGATATCATATTGGGTTAACTCTAACGATAAAACTGATGATGTATAATGTCGTTCAGTTTTAAGAAATAATGTTTATCGAATTCAAAAATTATATAATTACATGCACGCTTGTATTACAAAGACAAAATATACATCATAAAAAATAAATTCCATTTTCTATGGCCTCAAAGACCAACCAAAAGCCTCTCTAAGGTCAGACTTTGAGATTTGATAGGCCATTGACCACGTCGAGTTTTTTTTGTTCCTTCCGAAGAATGCCCTCACGTGGGTCACCACTACAGAGAATATAGAAGTAATAACATTAAAAAAACATTGATGGTTGGTGTGCAAATATTACAATGAAAAAATATTGAGTAATGCATCACAATTGATCAAGTAGTACAGAAGATAAAATGAAGTATTTTTCAAAAAAAAATCGAACTGGCTAAAAATAATGTGATCAACAGAAGAACATCTATATAAAATCATTACAAGATTATTAACTAGTTGCATAGTTTGCCAACTCTTCTATATATGAATATATTAATCATATTTGTGTTCCAGTTCTATATATAAGAGCCAATACACATAATATCTTATTTTGCATTATGAAATTATAGATATGCATAGTGTGCAATAAAGGTATTGCATAAAAAAAAAAAAAAACTAAAAATGACATGCACGGTCGAATTAGGGGTTGACGTAAAGTTGAAATAGACTTTTAAATTTATATTGGTTGACAAAAATAAAACTAATTGACACAAATATATAATTCCAAACAGAAGTGGGGCTGTTTATGGAGTGTATTGTATTGTTATATACTAGCTTTTAAGCAATTATTAAATTTTATAAGAAGTAAATATTATTGTAGTATATAATATTAAAAATGATAATTATGATGGTATAGTTGCAGACTAAAGGATTAAAAAGAAAAATGGGTATGGTCAACTTAACCTAAAAGAAGTGGCTGGTGGATTCCTCCATACAAAAATTTATTTAGTTAAATGTATTTGTTACCAATTTTAAAAATATTTTTTTGTTTTGCTTTTAAATATGAAAATATGTTGGCCATACTTGTAATCTAATAATCTATTTGTGTCAATCTCCCAATAATCTATATGTTTTTAATCTAATTATAATTTATTTCTGTGTAATGGGTCTATGTTTAATCGTACATCATATAAAAAGTAGCAATCACGAAGTGACAACAATTTGGGGGATCTATTTGTTTTCAACAAAGCTACGAGCAATGGAATTTGCTTTTCTTTTTTGAAAACACAATTGTTCGATGCCTTAATTAATCACTAATAACATCCCTTGATATTACAAGACGGTAGATAATTCAAATTGTTATAGTATTGTCACGAAAAGATATCTTCCAAAAATTGTCTAAAACTTATCTTAAGAAACTGGTAACCAAGATTTAGAGTTTTTTTTTCTTAAGTTTGAAAGTGCTTAGATGCATTAATTTACACTATTTTACGAAAACTTAGATGCACCACAATTGCTTGACCACAAACAAACAAAAAGATGCACCACCATTAAAAAACTTTAAATTTGTAATATTATATATGAATACTGATCTAAAAATCGTAGTTAAACATTTGTATTAGTTGGTTTAACAGCTAAAACAATTTTCTGTATTAACATTTAAATGGTAATATATATTTATTTCGCGGAAACCATCTATATTTTATTTTTTTACACTTTTATTGACTAAAAAACCTTACACATGTTAATTGGGTTATACTTAATTTTCCGTTTAGAAAAGGTGTCCGTACACTCGTTAGATTTGACATTGATAGCTATTTATTCTCTCGGAATTTTCTTTTTCCTTTTTCCTAATCTTTAGTTTTTCTTCTTTGGTAGGGGCCGATGCCAAAGACTTACCATGACTCATTATTATTTTAGAAATAAAATCAAATTTTATTCGGTTCGACAATAGTAATACTACAACTATCAAAATTTAATAGAAAAATAACAAATTGATTAAAATTATTAAATTAGAGTGCCCTTTTAAAATTAAAAATGTTATCATGGTCCAAAGTGGAGATAGGGTTTCTCATATTTTATAACATATTTTGGAATCCATTGGGGAAAGGCATAAGAATAAATACACATACAACGAGACAAATCAAGTAATAATTAGATTAAGAACACAATGAACAAAAATACTACTATAATTATAAAATATTCCCGTGGAAGCTCAACTAGAAGGTGTAGGTGGTTTACATCGTAAATTCGCTGTGAAAACTTCGAGCAAAAGATTAAGGTTACCGCAAAATATATAAACCAGCATATGAACTCGTTTGGTTCATCAATCATAAAGAAAAATAGGGATCACGACTTCTTTTTATTAAAATGCATACTAATTAATTTAAAAGAAAGTATTTTAGTAATTTTATATATGTGAAACAAAAAGTTGAATTTACAGCCAAACTCTAATTAAACGTCACCAATATCGAAGTTAGAAGCTAGCCCAAACTAGCCAGCTTACCTTCATCGCTAAAGTATAGTTGTTGGATTTAAGCTCAAGTGTTGGCTGCGTTGCACGAATGTAAGTAGGAAGTCTTGTTCCGTTAGTACATAACTCACAATCTCTTTTTATAACAAAACTGAGTACAATACAATAATAATAATAAAAAAATGATTCGTGTGTATATGTATATATGACTATATGGTGATGTTTTGGTTAAAGAGTACTATATGTATTTTGGAGCACAAAAGAGGGCTTTTTCTACATGTGTAGTCATTTGCAAATGATTAATCAACCACAACAATTGCATTTAGAATCTCTCTCTCTCTCTTGGAAGAAAATAATTACACCCGTACGTTATTTTGGATTTGATAGAGTATTCGATAATGGGACTTTGATATAATTTAGAAAGAAATACATTATGTACATATTTAGATTCGGACGCATGTAGCATTTATCTTCACTCCTATTCGTGTTCCGATCCTATTTACACATTATTATAAAGAAACTTTTAAAATAAAAACTAAATCATACAAAATCACCAACCATGAATGTTTCATTGTGTTTCTCTAGAGTCTAGACTCTTTAAGTCGTAAAATATCTGATTTTATACACATTAATTTATAGTTCAAAGTAATCGTATAAAACCTTGAAAATGTAGAATCATTTGGTATAAATATTAACTAAGATAAGATATTTCTGAAAATTATATACGCACCAGTAATATTGCATACTACAATGCTGCAATTGTTCTCATTCTCATTTTTTTCTTTATAATAGTTCTATTTTTTTTTTCCTTTTGCTTCTTATTAAAGTTCATCAATATATATGGCTATCTTGATGAACGGTCAAATCAAACATTCTTCTCTGCCTCTCTGGATATTATAAAATTATTGCTAATGTGTTATTATCATTATCAAAATATTGTCATTAACGAAACAATAAAAAATGTGTTAAGCAAAGCTAATTATTAGTCCACTAGTAGATTAAGAAAATTGCTGGCGTGGTGCGGAGTTCTGAATCAGACATTTTGTTTTGTCGGATGGATTGGGCTTTGTATTATATGTTTGCACAGAAACACAAAATTTTAGAATAATCATAGCGATAAAATTATCTCTAGATATTTTTGATCCAAAAAAAAAAATCTGGAGAAAGTCACTACACTAAATTTGTTTGTTAAAGGTTTTAGTCACTATACTAAGTACTAATCAATAATCCTTTATCATTTCTGAATCATTTACGAGACAACAACGAAAATCTTTTTTTTTTTTGTTACCGATAATTATATACCTAAGATAAATGGTCTCATAACAAAAAAAAAAAAACATGAAAGCATAATTCATAATTCAAAGATTTTGGTCCTTCTACTCAACCAAAGCGGCAACCTAAGGGAGTTTGATGAAGCGATGACGATTTTGCTTGTTCTTTCCGTATCAGTTACTTAAGGAGAAGAGTGATTGCAAAATGCCAATCGCCGAGTTAGGAAAAGCTCCAACGAAAATCTTTGGTTTCTTCTACGGTGCCATCTTGAAAATCTTTATCGTTTCTTTAAACTTGTCGTTTGGTCAAAGAAACAATACATGCTCCTATTAAAAGTACAAATGGTACGCATGCATGTATACAAGGTATACGTTTTTGTGTGTGGTTGATGCTTGCATTTCCCATTTTATAAAAAAAAACTAAAGCAACATCTTTAAGAATTCGTAAACATTAAAAACCCACAATGGATGGCAAAAACATGTTGGGACTTGGGCTCAATGATTCAATCCTTGTAATTCTCAAGTTGGCTTTTAAACTTGGCAAGTCTTTTATTGGGCTTTACTGTGCCAATATTGGGTACCAAAATAATTAGCCTTAGGCCTTCTTATTAACTTAAGCTCAATAAGACAATAAGTGTCTAACAATTACTCGTCAAATAAGAATTATTATCTTACAAACCATACATGACAAAGACACGAAATAATATTATAATTACATTATGAGCCATCGTAGTTAAGATTAGAGTAGACTAATTATGTATTTAGAAGTTATAACATGAGATTTATAACATAAAAATTGAGACGCAATCAAAACATCAAAAGTCCGACATGTATACCAACGACTTTCTCTCGTCACGCTCATGACGGCGCGTGGAATTCACTCTCTGAAATTTTCATTCATTTGTCTCGAAAGCGAAATCTGAAACCGTCACACACAGTCGCCAAACATGTCTCTCTCGCTTCCCTCTTCTTCCGCCGCCGCTGCTGCTGCTGCGGCGGCGTCGACATCGGGATCATCGTCTTCTCCGGCGGCTGCTTCGTCTTCCTCAACGACCACGTCCTGGTTCTCCGGAATCGTTCGCGGCCGTGGTGACAAATCCGGCACCGCGAAGCTATCTAAAAGCTCTTCCATGGCTGGAGGAGGAAGCGGAAGCGGAGATTACGGAGGACCAATCAAAGGGAAGAACCAATTTCGAGGAGTTTTGTTCAAATACGGTCCCAAATCCATCCAGGTTCTCTTCAATCTCGATTTCGATTTGTTAAATAGGATTGCTTTTGAGTTACTTCGAAGCAAAAAGGGAAAATTTTGAATAAGAAATTATCATTTCGTAATTCTTGGGTTGCTTAAACTAAAAACTATAGCTTCTTCTGGATTTCTTAGTAATTTAAGCATTTGTGTTTGTTATATTGCTTCGTGATTGTTTGCTGATCATGTTTAAGATTCGTTTAGGAAAGACAATGAAAATTTAGGTCAACGTTCCAAGCCATGTGAGACCTTGATTTCAACTTTTGCATCAAGTTAGATGATTTTAGTTGACCACTTACTTAGATGGTTCCTTTCTGAATTTTCAGAATGGATATTACTAGAGATTGTTATATATGAGTATCTATGGCTAGTGATTTTTCAAGGGTAGATTTCTGGTTGTAACAACAGTTTGCTTTTCTGTTTCATATGTATCTCCAGGTTGCTTTTAAGACCGGAGAGTATAAACAACAAGTGATATTTATCGGTGGATTAACCGATGGACTTTTAGCTACTGAGTATGTAGCTTCTCCCTTTGACCAGAAATTGTGTACAGAGCAGATTGCGTACCGTAACTCGTTTTTTCATGTATATTAATTGATAGAACATTTTTACAAATTGGCTGTTTCAGTTACTTGGAACCTCTTGCAATTGCTTTGGATAAAGAGAAATGGTCACTTGTTCAACTACTGATGTCGTCGTCATATTCTGGATTTGGCACTTCCAGCTTGAAACAAGTAAAGAGTTACTTAATATGGATTTCATCTTACCTTGTGGCTTGTAATATTGATAGACTGTGGGGGAAAACTAAGAATTTCTCAGTTCAGGAATGTACTGAACAATATTTCCTTGTTTCTTTTGATGAAGGATGCACAAGAAATCGACCAGCTAATAAACTACCTCATCAATAAAGAGAACTCTGAAGGCGTTGTTCTACTTGGTCATAGCACTGGCTGCCAGGTGATTGGTTAAGCCCATAAACACTTTTTGGTCATGGTTCTGAAAGAAAAGTTATGACAGATACTATTGTCTTCTCGCACTTTGAAACAGGATATTGTGTACTATATGGGAACAAATGCTGCATGCTCCCGAGCTGTCAGAGCTGCAATTTTGCAGGTGCTAGTTCTAGATTTTTTGACTTGTACGTTTCGTGCTTCTCTTAAGGCTACGTGTTCTCTTATGTGAAAGACCTTGAGTTGGATCTTGTGTAGTGTGCTATATCGTATGTTTTGACTGGAGTGTAGCTTTGATCATATTGCCTAATGCAATGTTTACATAGGCACCGGTCAGCGACAGAGAGTACAAAGCAACGCTTCCTGAAACACCAGCTATGATAGACTTGGCTGCAAACATGATAAAAGAAGGTCGAGAAGAGGAGCTAATGCCTAGAGAAGCTGATCCTTGTGCTCCAATCTCTGCTTATAGGTATTCCTTGTACCATAGTCGCAACTTTGAAAATTGAAAATGGTGTTTTGAACATGTCTATATACAAAAATCAATGTTTTGCTTACGTCATGCAGATATCACTCCCTCTGCGCTTACATGGGAGACGACGATATGTTTAGTTCTGACCTTAGTGATGATCAGTTGAAAACTAGACTTGGGCATATGGCTCACACACCTTGTCAGGTAAAACAAAACTAACCATACCATCGCAAGCATTTTCATACCCGGTGAAAATAATTGTTTCTAGGTGTGGTCAATTGGGTATTGACTAGCTTCTTATATCATCTATGTTCGGGTTCTACACAGGTGATTTTCTCCATGGGTGATGAGTATGTACCAGATTATGTCGACAAAAAAGCACTGGTTAATAGGTGAGTCCATATAAGTAAAGCAACAATAAGAGAATCTAGAACTGAGGATACCTTTACATATAAAAGGTTGTCCCCTTTGTGCTCATTATGTTTGGAATCTAAGTTAAAATAGGTATATGTAAAGAACTATAGATGCAAACTTTGGATCAAAATGATATCGAAATGATTGGACATGAACAAGGAGATCAAAAGGATTGATTTGATGTCTGTGATTACAGATTAAGTAAAGCAATGGGAGGAGCAGAGAAAGTGGAGATAGAGCATGGGAACCACTCTCTCTCCAATAGAGTTCATGAAGCTGTTCAAGCCATTATTGGTTTTGTCAAAAGAGAAGGACCCAGTGGTTGGGATGATCCTTGGAGCTAAATCTGTTTTTTTTTTTCTATTTATGTGGATGAAAAACTTATCCAAATCTGAATCTCATGAATTAATTCACTTCTTGGCTGATTCATAACCATTTATCCTTAAAAAGTAAAAAAAGTAAATTATTGTCCTTTTGTTCTGATGTATACTTGGATCATTAAGAAAAATGTCTTCCTTATTATATAATCCTTCTTTTGTTGCTTTGTTTTGTCTTTAACCTAAATTGTAATCTTGTTATATAATCTTTAATATGCCTAATCTTGCTGAGTCCTTAAGTTCAGTTCGAACAGAGATGCTTAGGAACATGAAAAGTCTGAATCAGTAAGCAACCAAAGGTAAAAAGGTAAAGATGATAGAACATAAGGAAACTGTTACCAAACACTGACACCAATAAATAATAGGCATTGAGCTGTCCCAATGTTGGTAAATAACAGAAATTTCCATTAGTATAGATATAATAACTGCTTCCTCCTAAAACATTCAACATCAAACTAATAAAGCTATATCTTCTTCTTTATTATTGTTTAAAATTTATACCAATATATTCCAATTTAGAATTAATTATGTAGATTATTTGTTCAACAAAAATGTCTATCATTGTTAGCAAACAGGTTTTCAGTTATACAAAAAGGAATTTCTGAGGATAACCGTATCATTGGTGGCAGCCTAACAAAAATACTGTAAATGTTTTTGTAAAAAAACTGTAAATTATGAAGTTCCAATCTCAAAACCTAATCTTTAACTAATTAGTGGTTTAGCCACTAAAATCTCAATATCTGTTATTAATTTTATCCCGGCAGAGAGTTTTGTAGGCGCGGTGCGACAATGGCCAAACAAACAAGTCACGTGACGCCAACATTGTCATAAAAATCCCACCGTACATTATTACAACGTCACGCCGACGCGACTTCTGAACACGCTTCCTTTGGCCAACAACACATGTCGGTGCTCATTAGTTGGCGCGATCATCGGTTCGAGCCAATGCTAATATCTGCTGATTCACAAGGGTATAATAGTCTGTACATAAAATTGTCATTTCCTTACTCTTCCGCCTTTTGGCAGAGCACATTGAATTTCCGACCAATCTCTAAATTCTTACCTAATTACTTTTCGGGACATTTTAATGTTCTTCTCGAGAAAATAGAAATTAGGAAAAATAATAAAAATCCCACCTTTGGAAAATTTTTTTTTTTTTTTTTTTTTTCACCTTTGGAAATTGACTTGTCGCCAATTTGATTTCTTTCCGATTGTCATCTTCTTCAGGCTTCTTCAGATGCCGGAGAAAGTAGTGATTCCGTCTCCGGCGCTGAGTCCTCTGCATCAATGGAGATTAAGCGCTTTAACATCCCTCGTCTTCTTCCTCATGGTTGTTGTCTGGAGCATTGACGGTTGTACAATCAAAAGCTTCATCGAATCATGGAGATTCAACGCTTACTCCATACGACTCACTTCTCATGGAGATCTAACTTCGAACACAACCAATCCACTGGATCTGAATCCGACCCGAGTGAAGTTTTCTTGGATCTCCGTCGAGCAAGAGCAGAACTTCACGGCGAATGTACTGAAAAACTGGCTAGCTCCGGGAGGAGAGAAGTGCAGAGAAGCAAAAACCGTCGAGATTTCGGTTCCGGGAATCGACGGGAAGGATTTAGTAGAGTTAACGGCTGGTGAGATTCACGAATTCAGATTTCAATCTTTAGATGATTCTGGAAAACGAGTTTGTATCGGTGGAGATTACTTCGAGACTGATCTTTCCGGTGAAAACTGGAAATCAAGACCACCGGTGAAAGATTTAGGAAACGGAACTTACTCTTTATCTCTTCAGATTCATCCTGATTTCGCCGGAGATTATAATCTCACTGTTGTTTTACTCTTCCGTCACTTCCAAGGTCTTAAATTTAGCCCCGCGCGCTTCGCATTCAATAAAAAGCTACGAAATTTTAAACTACGGTTTATCAAGAAACCCGACGTTGTTTTACCGGAGCTCCGGAGATGTGATCGGTCTGATTTCGACAGAGATGTTTGGTCCGGACGGTGGATTAGGCTTGGTAAGAACGACGAGTGTGAAATCAGCAACGACGGGCGTTACCGTTGCTTACCGGATGGTTTCCGTTGCCGGAATCCATGGTGCGACGGAGCTGTCTCGGATTTAGAAAGCAACGGTTGGGTTTACTCGAGCCATTGCTCGTTTAAGCTCTTCTCTGGTGAATCGGCTTGGGATTGTTTGAAGAACAAATGGATTTTCTTTTGGGGAGACTCTAATCATGTTGATTCGATCAGAAACTTGTTGAATTTTATCTTGGGTCATCCGGAGATTGGGGCAGTTCCGAGGAGGTTCGATTTGAAGTACTCGAATCCGAAGAATTCATCGGAAACAGTTAGGATCACGAGTATTTTCAATGGACATTGGAACGAGACTCAAAACTATCAAGGTCTTGATTCACTTAAAGATGATGGATTTAGAGAGTTGCTTAAAAGCTATTTCACCGAAGAGACCGGTGTACCGGACGTGATGATCGTTAACTCGGGTCTACACGACGGTGTTCACTGGTCTAACCTTAGAGCCTTTACGAAAGGAGCAGAAACCGCAGCTCGGTTCTGGAGAAACGTTTTCGACTTGGTGAAAGCCCGTGGATTGCAACATCCGGAAGTGGTTTTTAGGAACACGATCGCGACGGGCGGTTACGCGAGGACGCTTGCGTTTAACCCAAGCAAGATGGAAGTGTACAATGGGGTGTTTTTGGAAAAAATGAAGGGGTTAGGATTGGTCTCGAGTGTGATTGATAACTTCGATATGACGTATCCGTGGCATTTTGATAACCGGTGTAATGATGGGGTTCACTATGGGAGAGCTCCGGCGAAGATGCGGTGGAGAGACGGCGAGATTGGGCATCAGTACTTTGTTGATCTCATGCTTGTTCATGTCTTGTTAAATGCAATTTGTGTAAGATAAGAGTAGATTGAAGACTAGAGCTGTTTTAAGTTTGGTTACTTAGGAGATTCTTTTATTTGTCTCATGTAGACTTTGTTGATTATGTTAGCCACAAAATTTCGTATTTAGTCAAAGCTGAAGAAAAATAAATCGTCATCCTTCATTTTCGAATGACAAATCATCCTTCATTTTCAAATAACAAATCATCCGCTTACTCATGTTTTTTCTTTTGAAAACTTCGTCATTCAAATAAAATATTTCTAAAACTAACATTTGTCTATAATGAAGAATCGGTACTTTGAATAATTAAATGTTTTGATCATGAAACTAATATACAGGTCATATACATTTTATTACTATTAATTTTTCGGTCAACCATTATCTTATTCTTTGTTTTCATTGATTTATAATTCTAGGATTGTTTGTTTCTTTTCTTCTTCAATCTTCATCTTAAATCGAATAAAATAAATCTTTATGGTTCTAAATACTAAAATCTCATCCTATTTAATTTTAAACAAAATAAAAATAAAAATAAATAAATAAATAAATAATTTTAAACAAAACAATTATAGAGTATTTTTTTAATAAAAAAGGAATTAGATAATATCGAAATCGATTGAGGACGGCAAGGAAGTCGGTACGCGCCACGCGGTTTAATGAAACCAGTCACAGTTCTTATGCTTACGCTAAACATGGAGTCCCCAAACCAAATCAACGACAATTGAATCCACACCTTCACGAAACCCCCCAAATCCAAAACAAAAGTTTGTCTTTTTCGGTTTCGGATTACATCATCTCCAAGGCAAGCACCAGCACCAGATTTTCCGCATCCTTAAAGATCTCGTTGCGGTTTTTGTCTGAAATTTCGCTTTGTTGTGGTTCAATAGCTCGCTTGTCAAAGAAACAATCAATAGATCCGGCAACGCCGTTGAAATAGTAATCGGAGGCGATTTAGCATCGTAGAGTCGCCGTTCATGGCCTTCACGTGGGGATCTGCTCTCCGGATTTCTGTTCTCCTTATCCTTGTAGCTGCAATCGTCTTAGCTTGTTATTTTCTCCCCGTTGAGAAGGTTCGTAATCGGCCAAATTAGGGTTCTCAATGTGGTTTTTCTGAGATGGGTTTTTGTTGGTGTTGTATGATTTCTGGAAATTCACATGCTTTTCTTTGAATTTCTGGTAAATGTGGCGTTTTTGTGTTCTTCAAGTCTCGTTTGAAGTTTCGTAGCAATGAAAGGATTGAGCTTTGGTCATGGGAAAGGAGAATTTACCCTTTTGATATGATTTTTGTGTAAAGCTAATAGATTTATCTCTTGAAATTATGTTTCCTTCTCTGAATTCGTTTCATTTGAAGTAGTGATTTGTAGCATTAGCTGTTTATGATCTGAAACTTACTCATTCATTTGTTTTTTTTTCAGTTATTGAAGGATTTTTTGTTATGGGTTGAACAAGATCTTGGGCCTTGGGGACCTTTTGCCCTGTAAGTCTCTCTTCTTTCTTGTTTCTTGAGCTATGGAGCTAATTAGATTCTTGCGTGAATGGTAGCAATGAGCTACACTAACGGCGGTAGCTTAATCACTGTTTCATTGCTAATGTTTATCCATGGATTGGGAAGTCTTTGCAAATTAATACTTCTAGAAATATAGGAACATAAGGTTACCTTGGTACTGAAATTCTCTTTCTTTTGTGATGTGTGCAGGGCTGTTGCGTATATTCCTCTAACAGTTTTGGCTGTTCCAGCCTCGGTTCTCACGGTATGTACATGTTTCTTTTGTGTGTGATATATTACGGCTATCATCCACTCTCACTTTGTTAGATTGAGTGGTTTATCTATAAAATTGAGAAATCTTATTTGGTTGAAGCTGTGATATATTCAGATCGGTGGTGGCTACCTTTTTGGGCTGCCAATTGGTTTTGTGGCGGACTCAGTCGGTGCTACACTTGGCTCAGGAGCCGCATTTCTTCTAGGCCGTACAGTAAGCCTCTCAAATTTTTATTGATTTGCAGACAGAACCATTAGATTTGTGAACTGACCTGCTTAGCGGCATGCATAAACCGCTGATGCTATCCTTTTTTGATATTTTGGTACTTACATGAAAATGCTCTTATGCAGATTGGAAAACCTTTTGTTGTTGCAAAATTAAAGGATTATCCTCAGTTTCAGTCAGTGGCACTCGCGATTGAGAAATCCGGCTTCAAGGTTTGCACTCAGAACCAATACAAATTTTGTTCTGACCACTCTTCTTTTGAAACTTATGAATATGCAAAACTGAATATAGATATGCTTGCTGCTCCGGCTTGCTCCTCTTCTCCCCTTCAGCATGTTGAACTACCTATTATCTGTCACGCCAATTCGGCTAGCCCCATACTTGCTTTCTTCTTGGTTAGGGATGATGGTAATCTAATCTAATCTAACCCACCTCTCCATAACCACTGTAAAATATTTAAACTGTAAGATCGAAATAACACAGCTTGATACATTGTTAATTTGCAGCCAATAACACTTGCGTTAGTGTATGTTGGAACAACTCTAAAAGACCTTTCTGATGTAACTCACAAGTGGAGCGAATTCTCGCTAGGTCGCTGGGTAAGATCTGCACAAATTTTAATTACATTCTCGGCTTCTTGCTTTAATCTCTTTTCTGACCCGTGTTCCGCAATTTGCAGGCGTTCTTGATTTCGAGCCTTGTGATATCCGGTTAGTTCGACATAACTAATGTTACTAGCTCCTTCACTTGCGCAGAATCACTAATGTCATTAGTTCCTTCTTTTATCTGTCTCCTTGCAGTGATATTAATGGTGTGTGTTACGAAGGTGGCGAAGGACGCTCTAAGAAAAGCTTTAGCAGAACACGGAGGAGACATGAACGAAGCGGTTGCAGCCTTGCCAGAGCTGACCGTTACTGATGAAGCTTCGACGGATTTAAATGAGCCTCTCTTAATAAAGATAGATGCTCAACAACCTCAGGACCAAGTAAACCATAGTCATTAAAAAAAGCTGCTGAAGACTTTGTATAATCTTTATCTTTTAACTTACAAAGCATAGTTTTATTGGTTTGTATAATAACATAGATTAAAAATTATTTTTAAAAAGTTGTTTTACTTAATAACTTTGAGATGTAATTATTAGTTCACAGGGATTTAAAATATTGGATGAATAAAAAGAAACTACATGGATTTTGGGTTGAGTTTCTTCTAATTGCTCCAGCTAATCAGACAGTTTGTTGACATCCACAGGTTATGGAAACATTCTAAGCATATATCTTTGACCTAAAAATGTTATAGATATCTTAAAAATCTCCTAAACTATTAGTATATTATCATATATTGTGGATAAAGATTGTTGAATCACCGGTTATTCAATGAAGATTATTGAATCCGACTTAGGTATATAAATACACAAAATCTGTTATGCATAAATTGAACCCATCAATTAATATATGGGTATTCATAACCAAAATTGGCTTTTATTATATTGGCTCAACTTTTGTTGGATTATTTAAAATCTCATCTTTTTTTTTTTTTTGGGCAAAATTTAAAATCTCATCTTATTAACGAAATTGGAAGGAAACCAAAATTAAGATGAAAACTTGTAAACTTTTATAAATTCAGTATCTAAATATAATTTACTAACATAATATTCAAAGTTAAGAACTTATTGATATGTGGTCAACTTTGAAAAACATCACTTTTGAAAATTCATATATTAAACTAACGTGTATAGTAGTTGATTTTTAATAGATTTTCTATCAATTCGAAAAACGTCATGTAGTATGTGTTTTTCTAGATTTTGTACAAGAAGAAATGGTCAATTGGTCATGTCTTTTTCATAAGCCGGTCAAGTCTCTTCGGGAACATCCGATAACAAAAAAAAGTTACACGCGTTGACTTTTCAATACAAAAATGGCAGTAAATCTGGCGGTAACTGCGTAAAGTAAAAAATGTACAGTAATTAATAATCTTTCAACAAAGACAAATCTTTTGATCTGACTTCTTCTCTCCGAATCTCCTCTCGTCTCTCTTCTCGTTTCTTCAGGCTATGGGGATCTCCTTCAGCAAGCGTCGACGAGACAACTACCACCACCACCGTCCCCACCACAATCCGCCGTACTATTACTCCGATCCTCCACCACAACAGCCGCCGCCTCAAAACGAGTACAGCTACTCTCACAACCACCTCGTTTCAACTCCACAGCTCTCTCTTCCTCCACCACCACCACCACCACCGTCTTCTTCTCAGCCTCCGCCGTCGCAGATTAGTTACCTACCGTACGGTCAAAACTATCATCAAAACCAATACTACCCGCAACAAGCTCCTCCGTATTTCACCGGTTATCATCACAATGGGTTTAATCCGATGATGAGACCGGTTTTCTTCGGTCCGCCTCCGGTTCCGGTTATGCAACCGCCTGCACCTTACGTGGAGCATCAGAGCGCCAAGAAGGTGAAGAACGATGTCAATGTGCATAAAGCTACGGTGAGGCTCGAAGCAGACGATCTTAACCCTGGTCATCATCTTGTTTCCTTCGTCTTCGATGCCTTATTCGACGGCAGGTATTGATTCTTCACGAAGCTTCCGACTTTAGAACCGGAATTAGGATGAGATTGGCTAATTAGCGTAGAGGGGACTTGTAAATTATACTGAATCTCAAATTTGGATCATAAAGGTTCAAACTTTACATGATATGACTCATTTCTTTAGTGAAAGTTAGGTTTTTTTTTTCATATATGGATCTTTTTCATTCAATTTTGTGGAGCTGATGTGTATGTGATTGGTTCAAAAACCAAACAATTCAAGCTTCAGTTGCATAACTGATTGCAGATTTTGTATCATTCTCTAATAGGAGTTCTTGTAGTTCATTTAATGGTTCAGAAACACTAAGCTAGTTAGCTATTGAATCAACCTTATTTCTCTCTTTGTGTTGCATACCAAGTTTAGGTTTTATCTAACAAGGAGTTTCATTATGTTCCTTGTGTCATTTTCAGTTTCACTATCATATTTTTTGCAAAGGAGGAATCAAACTGCACAATCGTCCCGCATTTACCAGAAGCTTTCCCACCGATCAAAGTCCCTTTCCAGAAAGGTACAGCGCAGAAGTTTCTACAAGCTCCAGGGACAGGAACCGACCTAGGGTTCTTTTCACTGGATGATCTATCAAAACCAAGCTCGGTTTCAGACGAACCATCAGCAGAAGAGGTGTACCCACTTGTAATATCAGCCGAGACAGTAATCTCACCAAGCTCGGTTTCAGAGGAACCATTAGTTCATAAGCAAATTACTCAAGCGTGTTTGGAGAAGACTAATGATGGATCTTTCAAAGTGAAAGTCATGAAACAGATCCTATGGATTGAAGGACATCGATATGAACTACGTGAGTTGTATGGAATCGATAATTCAACCACACAAGGTAATGCTGCGTCGGGCTTAGAGGATACTGATGGCAAAGAATGTGTCATATGCTTGACTGAACCTAAGAACACAGCCGTCATGCCTTGTAGACATTTGGTACGAACTTCTAGCAACTCTCTTTGCTTTCTTCTAAACGCAATTTTTCATTTAGTCGGTAAACATATAAACCGTTGGCAGAGTTTCTATTATCAACAGGCAAATTTTGTCATTTTAGACTTACTTCATATTGCTGTTAATTGTCTCTAAAGCCAATTTATACCAATCTTTCACAAGACCATAACTTTTTGGTTAAATTGTTCTTAAGAAGACTAAATCATGTTGTGTTGTCTCTTGTAGTGTTTGTGCAGTGACTGCGCAAAAGAACTGAGGTTTCAGTCAAACAAATGTCCCATTTGTAGACAACCTATCGATGAGCTTTTAGAGATAAAAGTGGAAACTAGTGATGAACAACACTGAGAAAGAGGTTTCTTCCCTTCACTTAAAACACCATGTTTGATATTTTCTTCTTCTTCTTCTCCTTTTTTTGGAAACCGTCAAATCGAATTCTTTTGCCCTTTTTCTTATACAAATGTGTTTTCTCATGCCATATTCTGCACATATTTGTTGGTCTTAGTTTTGGGAAGCACAAAGGAAAAAAGTCAGTATAATGTGTATAGAGCTCCAATGGGTCTTGAGAAACTTTTTCTTTGTATCTTTCTACTTGAAACACTCATCATTCTCTTTGATCTGTTATTAAATACTTTTTGGTTTGCGCATTGCTCAAATATAATTTGCAATTATTTGTTGTTTATCATAATGGATCGGGTTATAATCCAGAAACCTAACCTTGTAGTAACCACAATTCTATATTAAGATATAGACAGGAAAAATCTGTAAGAATTTTGGAGAGCTCTTTGTGTCCCTCATTTGGCTTTCTTTTAACTCTTTCTTTTTGGAAAGCAAAAGTTTGTGTATCAAAGATTCAAAAGAAAATAAAGAGAGATGGGAACTGAAGTTGATGAAGAACATTCAAAGAAGTAATTTTTTTTTTTTTCTCTCCTTTTTGCTTTTTGTCTACAAAAAAGGCTAAAAGAAAAGGAAAAGCTGGTAGGAGATGGAGAATGTTTCCTATTGAAGTTAAGCCTGAGAAAAAAAAGTGTTAAAAAGTGAAGTTTGAGTTCATTCTTTTTGACAGAATGTTAAACTTTTGAAATGAGGAAGATATTGAACAAAAAGTCGTCATTTGATAGTAGTGAAGTGATCCTCTTCACAAGCAATATTATTTTTCCATTATTGATTCCATGTGGTATCATATACAATTTGGACGTTTTGAATAATGAAAACCCTAGGGTCTATGTGTGATAGTCTTTGTCTTGTTTTGGACTATATATTGAATTTGAAGTGATATTTTTCCCTTTCTGCCTATGACAATGTTTACTAGTCATACCATGATGTTTAATCAAAATTCCTTAACGAATCTTATCTATCACCTATATATTTCCATGTATCAACATATTTTTTCAATTTCCTACATTCTATTTTAGACCAACCTTCTTTTCTTAGATTTGACTTTACAATGTTTTAGACCAACGAAGTTTAAGTTTTAACTAACTCCACAATTGTATTCCATTAGCCACTAGGAAAAAAATGATTGATGTTGCTCAATGGAATATTTAGGAACTAAAAGCTAGATTACTTTTCAAAGGGTTATTTTATTTGGCTGAGGTTAAACTTAAAATGAAGAGAATGACGATTGAAAGACTAAAAGATTATTGGAATTGAGTTCATACAGCTCAACGCACAACATAATGTGACTTGAAGGAAAAAAAGGAAGTATTTTTGGAGATATACATATGAAGTTTTTGTGGACATCTAGATCTTTAGGAGGTTATGTTTTTGGTTATATAAAGGGAAAGGCTCATAACTTTTCATGTACTTGTTAGGGATTCAAATATTCAATATACGAGACACATAGGTGTATGTGGCCTCGTCACACTCTGGCTTAGTAAAAGATCTATTTGTGGTGTTTAGTGGAGATGGCAACCGTCGATGTAAGGAGTAAAGGTGGTGGTGCACTGGAGTTACTGATATGATAGGTGTTTATTTTATAACATTTGGTAAAGTTTAGTTCATGGCTAGTTTAACTGTGAAAAACTGTAATAAAATAGATCGATAGATTAGAAGTTTGGACTTGATTTATGCGTTTTGAATGTTATCTTGGAGATGTAGGTTGAAAAGATTATATTTCGTTAATAATTTTTTGTACACTCGAGTATTTATTTTCTCGTAATGTATAACCTAGCTCCAAAAATTCTTCACTTACAAGTTTTAGGATTGAAAATAAATAGATATTTTAGATATGCTACATGGATTTTCAAAAATTGGTATGTTAAAACTTAAATACGAATCTAGTACTACCGGCAAAGATATTGTCATTTCAATCAGTTCATATACACTGTCAATTCTCAACCATATATAATTTACCAAAAAAAAATTTAGAAACCTCTATTCTCATGTCAATTCTCAACCATATATAATTACCAAATAAATATAAACCTCTATTATCATTCACACTGTCAAGATTTAACCAAATATGGATTAATAGCTAATAAGTTTAACATTTTCCATGCTAAAATATAGCAATTCAAGTCCGAAACGTATTGTGATAAGATTCTTATAAGAAAAGAAAAAAGAAAACGAATCTATAAGGAAAAGATGGTAACAAGAGGAGAGAATAGAGACAAAACCCCCAATTAATGTCATTTTGTCAATAAGAAGAAGATGACCCCATGTGAACATTGGAGACTCATGTGACTCAATTCTATCGTTTTAGGCAAATATTCAGCTACAAGTTTTATCGCAATAAACCCAAAATTTATTTAAATGTTGGTAGTTAGCTGATAAGTTGTTTTTATGTTGTCGAGAATTCAAGTCTTGTGACTTTCTTTAGATCAAAGTCTTTTAGTTTTCAGTAAGAAAAAATGTACAAACCAAAAATTCAGCACTTATACCAAAAAACACTCAAATTTATTTTTCCTTAGATATATATGTCCTTGTGTCAAACTTTTAAAATTAATTTAGAACATTAAGTAAATTTTACGGTGATCGTGCATATATAATCGACTTATAACTTGACTGGCAGGATAAAATCGTTTTGATCCTTCAATGCCAATTTGCAAGCATATATGTACTCAAAAAAACTTCAAACAATTCAATAATGCAGCAAGTTTTAATCAAATAATTCCCCAGCCATCGCCAAACTTTATCATAAATGTCAAAATTGTACCATGTCCTTTCGTTCTAAAATACTTGGCCTATAGTATACGAGTTAACGTTACTTTTTGTCCTATCCAATTATATGGTACAAAACTACAAATTAGTCTCATTGATATGGCGATGAAATATCTACCAGTTTTTAAACGAGTAACAATTTTAGTTGTTTGCTTTAACACCCCCCCTAATATTATTAGGAAGTAACATGCTTGTATCTTGTCCGTTTGTATTTTTTTCATTTCAGAACGTCTCTATATATAAACATTTGTGAGTGTATATTCCACAAAAACCATAGTTTACGTGTAAGAAAATCGTCGGATATAATTAAAAAGCGTGAACCACCTAACAATATTAGGGTTTATGATCGATCTCATGTACAATGCATTTAATTTCCGCTAATGGTACGATCATATTAATTGCATGCTAACAAGTAGTACTAATAATTAACATCTAACAGTTTGTTCTCTTTTCCATATAAATTCGTTGGAGTAATTATAATCTTATGATTCTTATCATTTTCGAATTTAATGAAATGCTCAGATTCCATGCATTAGTAGCGTAGTGGTTAGTTAGAGTTGGGTTAGGATATAAGTTCAAGTTCACACATGTTCAGTGACGCTTTTGGTACTACGAACAAATCCGTTGTGCATGAACCACTTAATTGGTTGTTTAGGATTTGGTCTTAGACAATAAATTCGTGGTGGACTTACGAAATTTTAACCAAGGAACATGCTCACATTTGATATTAATTAGTTGGTGCTTCGGCAAGAAAAGAAAAGAAAAAAGTTAGAATGAAATCAAACCTCATGAGATTTGTATATTTTTGTATGCATGTGTGTTCATAGCCTTTTTTTTTCCTCTTTACTATTTTTTTTTGGTTTTATTGGCTTTACTAATGGACAGGTACACCAGTGAATTTTTCTTTTTTCTTCAAACAGTTAAATCTTTAAAGGAAAAAAAGAGTATAATTATAGTATTATTTTAATTAAAAGCCAAAAGGAAAACTAAAATAAGGGAAGAGTGTTTCATGCCATGTTTACATTATTTAGGCTTTTGAGAAAAAGAAGCAATAATGATAAATGCGTAGAAGAAAAGTGTCTAAAACTTAGAGAAAATAAATGCTTAATGACTAAAATATTACTTACTATAAGAAAATTAAGAAAAACTGATGCGGCCGAAAACGTGATTATGTTCACTCGTAAGGGTGAGGCTTTCATCATTTACCCAACCCCACTTTTTTTTTTTCTTCTTCTCTTCTTTTTTTTTGTTATCTTCTTCCACTATTTTTCTTTTTCTTTTCTAGTTATTAATTATTATTAGATTTTTATGTAAGGTTAATCTCTTTTTTTCCCATAAAGACAAAAAATAGTAATTTCAATCTCATATTCTTATGCCAAATTTTCGCTTAACACGTCTCTTTCTTTAACCAATTTTGTCATTTTCATCTAGTTGGTCCCACTGTTTCAGTTTTTAACTTTTACTAAATGTATATCATTCAATTATTGAAGTGATTTTGGACAAAAAGATCAAACATAAAAAATCATGGATAGTTGGATACTATAATTTGTGAGCTATAAAAATCTTTCTTTTTTTAATGACGAAACAAAAACCCTAATTGGTAACACGTATAATAGTAGAATGATAGTAGAATAATGTTGTTAAGTGCTATTATGAAAGAATTTTATTAATTAAACTTAACTGGATAAGCATTAGAGTGCCCTCCAATTATGGGTGTGGTTTAGATGGAATGAATGCATTGTTTACCAAACCTGATCCGTGGTGATTTTTATATGAAACGAAATAAATACATATATCGAGTATAGTTTGTTAATGATTGAAAAAACGAGCCATGCGTGATATGATATAATTGCGACAAATTATTACGAGTATGTGAATCGATATGGTCAATAGTAGTTCTTTGAATCGTAAAATTAAATCAATCATGATTGGGTATTACAAATTTACAATCATAAAAACTCTTAGGTTTGTGTTTATTTGCTTTATTCATTTTACTTTCTCTGCCCTTATTTATATGACACTCCATATTTTGAGCCGGTCTGAAAAGTCCATGTGATATTTAATTTCATCCTAGATATAGTAATTTACTGTTTTGAATTTCTTGACCATAATAACTCAAACGCTATTAACTAAAATAATAACCAGACTCTTAACCGGATCGAAACCAAATAAAATGACAAAAATGTCAAAGTCCTTCATGATTCTTTCATAATTAAGGTTATCTGTGACAGGAAAATGAACTTGCAGCCCAATTAATTCTCTTCTCTATAAATCATATATTTAATACATTTATATTAAAATAATTTTATATTTTCTTAATAACAATACATCTGCAAACCGGGCAGACCAGATTGTGGACCGTGCGTGATCCAATTCAACACCCACTCTGTTTTTTTAAAACATTGTCAAATCATTATCATACATATTAGGTGTATATTTAAAACCACAAATATATTATGTTTAATGGATGGTTTAAATTTA